TTTTGAATAAAATACTCAATCGGCCGGGCGCCGGCTGATGAATCGGAGCAGATGTGACTCAAAATACTGAGGTTTTCACCAAGATTATGAGGTAATTAATATATTTCCTATCACGACTATTCATTTGTCATTGATATAGCTGTATGGACTTTACGTGCAAGTTAAGGTTATTGCGTACTTCATATATTGAACAACGCAATTATTATAGAAATAATCATTTATTGCAAAAAGATATATAGAGATTATCCTATATGAGGTTCAGGATATTGGGATTATCCCGAGGCCAATATAATATATCTGCCCGAGGGCCGTAGGTCCCGAGGGTAGATATATTATATTGGCCAAGGGATAATCCCAATATCCTGAACCGACTATAGGATGATCTGTTTATCCCATACCAATCTCATCGTTCAATTGGCCAAAGCTCAGAAACTTTGCAACCAACCGTGGAATTATTTTAAAATATTCATGTCCAGTTTTGTATTCTTGTCCGTAGCCGGATTTTCCTGTTCAAATCGTTGATTATTAACGGGGCATACTGCTCCTTCCCTTCTTTAAAGCATCAAACAGATCGCGATTGTCGGCGTTTTTCTCCATTGTCGTTTTAGCGAGATCAATAGTGCAAGAAAACAGGCAAATAGTTCGTCCATGGAACGAAGCATGAAACTTTCCACATATCATCAGAATACCTTTCCCTTTGATTTAAGAGCCAGAGCCATTTTTGTGGTCCACTAGAATGATCAAAAAATAATAAGTACCCCCTCCCACCAAATCCCGTGGGGGTGGGGAGATATAGGAATATTTTTTTCATAAAAAAATTTCTTTGAATATGGTCATACCACAGTTTTAGTGTGCTATTTTCATGGTAAAGAAATTTTGCAAACATAACAAGATGATTTATCATCAATTTTCATCATTGTTAAAGATTAATCATGGGCGACGCCCACTTCATATCTTGAACATTTAGGTTATTAAATCTCTATCATGGGTTGAATAAATGAATGTAATTCAGCTTTCTGAATAAGACCAGATACTCTTTTGATGTTAGGTGCTATAATTAATCTTAGAATTTGACTTCTTAAAGGCTCATAACATATCACACCCCTGTTTAGAAGAAAGAAGAAAGCGAGCAACAAATGTCCCAGATCTACAACATGTATCCACTATTCTATGTACATGTATGTCGAGTCTCTATATTCTCCTGAAGAAAACCTATGCTACAGATACAACTGTCCAGAATCTAGATGATGACATGCTTAAACAGTTTGATGAATGGTGTGCTGACCAAGTGCCTAAACAGTTTTATGAATGGTGTGCTGACCAACAGAATGTACCAGTCTTCAGGCTTTGGTTTCTGATTATTTAAATTGAAATACTGTGCCTAGACTATGTGAGGGCTATAGGACAGGAGGAGAATTTTCCTCTTTATTTCCAGATGGTTTCTCTTTGATTTTCATAGTTGTTAAAGACTAGTCATGGGCGACACCCACTTTTCATATGCTGAACATTTAGGCTATTAAACCTCTTTTATGGGTTTGAACCAGAACCAGAAGGGCCGCCACACAGTCACAGCCTGCAGTCTCTGAATTCTCAAGAGAGCCTATACTACATATACAGCTGTCTAGAATCTAGATGATGAAGTGATAAAGAGTTTGATGAATGGTGTGCTGACCAACAGAATGTACCAGTCTTTAAGTTTTGGTTTCCGATTATTTGAATCGAAATAATGTGCCTTAACTAAGTGTGTGCTATCAGAGAGGGCAATTTCCCTATTTCAGTTTAACATCAGGTCAACATCATCATTTCTAAATGAAGGTAACACTATTTAAGTTAATCGATCCAAACTTGTAGAGAATAATCATGAATCAACATTCTGCTTGTGAACCTGGGTCATCTTTGGGAAATGGAGCAAGGTGGCCAGGATCAGTACAAATTGTACACTAAAGAAAAACTGGATGACAAATCTAAACAAATAACAGACACTATCTATATAAAAAGAAACAATTTTCTAATATTTAAGGAACAGAAAACAAAAGTGAATGTTACCAAGGAAACAGCATTGAAAAAATGATTGTGCTCTCTTTTCAAGACTGTTCATTGCATGTCAGAATAGAGACAGTCATCTTGAGGAGTTCTTCAAACGTGAAAACCAATCCTTCCCACCCTCTTTATCTCAAAATGGAACAATTAAAACAACTAATTAAGTGCCGAAAGGTAGATGAAATGTTACCATCAAATTGGAATTTATTAGAGATGATGTAAACAATGTATTGTAAGATGTATTATCATATCCCCCGATGCCCATTCAAGACATTTCCCCATCAACACATGAATAAGCACATCCACCGTGCAGTAAAGTCTGGGTAAAACACATTGATGATTAGAACAGTAGACTGATATTGTCTGTCTCACAGTCAGTATATCATCAGAACTCAAAGTTCAAAAATGGATAGCTTTGGGAAAAGTAAAAAATTAGAGATATCTCACATGAAATGGCAGCTGCACTTTGACATGGTAGGACTATGTGTCTCCCCTTATTTCATGCCCCCACAGGTTCAGACACTATATCCGGATTCCATGGTAAATTAAAAACAACAGCGTAGAAACATTGGATTACTTATCCGAGTTGACAAATGCACTTAAAACTTTGGCTGAAGATCCCAATAAGTAAGCCAAAGTTATGCCAATCACTGAACGTTTTGTTGTGATTTTATACAACAGAGACAACAATGAAACAACTGTAAATGCTGCAAGACAAGAAATGTTCACAAAGAAAACAGCTCAAATTGAGAACATCCCACCATAGGTTGCATAAGTTCGGTCCAGACAATTATACCTATGTCAGTCCTCGCTTCACTCTCAAAATTGAGTTGGGAATCCATTACCACAAAGGCTGGAAAAATGATTTATGTGCCAGTATGGAAAACATGCTAGTAAAATGTAGCTGCAAACAATAGTGCTCAACAAAAAGATGCAAGTGCTTTAAAGCCAATATTATGCATGTATTGCCCTGTATATGTGTGACAGGGATTGTAATGGACATGGCACCTAAGTGAGTGATAATGATAATAGAGTGTTGAAGTGCTTAAATGCACAAAATAGGATATTTGAACTGCAGTTAAGATACTTAATGAGGTAACTTGTATCAATTAGTCAAAGTGCTCTCATTAAAAATTATGTATCATTAATTGTGAATTATATATTATTATATCTTTATATCTAAAAGGGGTGTGGCCTTTCACAAGCCTTTAACAGTGAAATTGACTTACTTACAGCATATATTATCTTAACATAAGTAATCTTGTCAGTTTTATTCAGCCATATTAGGTAATTTTCCTATTCATAATAGAAAACTCATTAACTTGTATATTTAACATGTTGATAAAGTGGGCGTCGCCCTTGGTCAGGCTTTAACAATGAATATCAATGAGAAATACTGATGCAATCTTGAAAATTGTTTTTTTAACACTGAAAATAACATACTAAAAATGAATATAGATCATATTCAAAAAATAGTTCTTCCCTCCCCCTCCCCCCAGGATTTGATGGGAGGGGGTATTTGCAATTTTTCGGTCATTCTAATGAACTACAAAAATGGCTCTGGCTCTTAAATCAAAGGGAATGGTATTCTGATGATATGTGGAAAGTTTCACGCTTCGTTCCATGAATGAACTATTTTTGCACTATTGATCTCGCTATTTACAGTATGCGAACGTTACAAAAAAGAGGCAATACGGGAACAGAGATTATGACGTAGCGGGCAGATATACTATATCTGCCCGCTCGGAGCGGGACATAAGCCTATATCTGCCCGCTGCTGAAAATATAAGTTTTTACAAACCGGCTTTATGTACCCGTAACACGTCCAAGTATGGGATAAAATTGTGTATCTCATACTTGGGTGAGTTTGGGGTAGATATTTCCTGGGAATATATATCATATTTGAGGAGCGGGCAGGATATATTGTATATGTCCCGCTCCAGGCCAAATGCGGCAGATATGATATATCCATCCCGCTCCCGGGAATTTTTCAATGTAATTGTTCTTTGTTCGTGCAGTGTAGTGATGAATTGTAGGACTTCTTCAGACGAAAAATTTAAAGTAAATCTCAAAAGTAAAATTCTATAAAAAAAACTTGGACAATGACACGAAAATGGCACTAATATGAGTTATGAAGAAGGAGCTACGAACCTAAAATTCGAAAACCAAATCGATGTTTAGGATTTTCTATTAAGTATGAGATACATCAGTTATATTGTACGGTCAGTTTTGGGTATAGGGTATATCCGAAACCTCCCAGTACATAACCCTTATGTATATGCTGGTGGAACCTCTCAGACAACCACTTCAACAATTAATCAATCACGTTTATACACCATCAAGTATACACCATCAAGTATGAAGTAATACGTTTCAGCTTCTTATTTTATTTTACTTTTCGGTGACAATTAATTGCAAACAAATGACAGTTTTAATAACATTGTCGATCTTTACATTTGGATAATACTGAATGGGGCAAAATAAGTCTATAAGCGAAAATAGAACTGCACCTGCCTTCATGTTACTAGATATTTCTGATATTTGAACATGAGTCATAAATATGAAAAACAATAATTTGAGGTTTGAAAATATACAATAAAATCTGAAAATATGGACTGGTATGTTAGTATTTTAGTCAAATCGTCGAACAAGAAGAAGCAAAGAAGCATAGCTGGTGCTCTAAACTTGACCTGACTTTCCCCGGGGAGTGCATGGGCGGCAAATATTGTGAAAATACTTAACATCAAAAATGTGCACCTCCTTTACAAGGTAAGGTCTTCTATCCACGGATGTGTCTTTGGTTGTTGGGTTCTTTTATATCTTTAGTTATCCATTTAATTTCATTAATAGTATTATTATATCAAAGCATACCCATCGGGCCTCCTCATAAGTTGTTTATGTTTGCGGTCTTCATTTATGTTGTCATATCACGTTCTTGTGTAAAACTCATGTAAAACTATCATGTTTTAATGTTATATTGAAATATCAAATTGATTCGAGAAAGAATAAGTGTTATAATTATTATACATACATGGCTTGCATTGCACTTTTAACAAATTGCAACAAGAAAACAGACATAGCAACAAGAAAACAGACATAGCAACAAGAAAACAGACATAGCAACAAAACAGCAACGAATTGTCATGATGCGACTTTGTGGTACCATTCTGATAGTCACATTTTTAAGCAGTGAGTATACAACGATTAGTTTTTCTACCCCAGTGTTCCGTTATTTTTAACGTATAGAAATCAGAGATGGACAGACTGCGTTACAGCATATAACACCAGCGTCGTGTTTTGCAATGTTTGCGTTTCTCATAGCAAACTCTGATAGATAACAGAGATCTTACGGTATAACAATATGTATGACAAATATGTGTTATCGATGTAAGTATCGGAATGTACATTTGCAGACTTAACATTAAATTTAAGATGAATTATAGAAACATATGTGCGTACTTTTGTATGAAACTGTTTATTATACCATCAAACGAAGTTTGGAGTGATATATAGAACGCCTCCGTCCGTCCGTACGTCTGTCCGGGCGATAACTAAAATACCGCTGGGCCGATTTTGTTCATATTTTATACCCATATGCCTTATAGTGGTAGAAGTTCTGCTCGACAGTCGATTTTCAAAATGGCCGCTCATTTTAAAATGGCGGCTATTTTAGTGCTGATTTTACAGTAATTTAGGTATAAATGTAAAACCGTATTCACACATAGCTAGGAAAGGTATGTCCGATTCCAGCCAATCAGAACAGAATATTCACATAATGAACCGTGTGTGAAATATCAATAAAACATGCAAGGTCACCAGTTAAACAGTTGTCATGGTGATGAATGGACTTCTCACATTGGATTTGATGACTTCCCAACTTGACCCTTGCAAAAAGTCATTGAAAATGTGTTCTTTTAGTGATTTTGTTCATTTTTAATGATTTTGGAGAAAACATTTTGCAATGTGTGAGGCGAATTTAAGCCCGAGACTCAATGCATTGTGGCTGCTTCATTCCACTCAGGCGTTATTTCCTAAATTTTAGATTTAGAATCAACACCTTCTTGGTATGATTCAGCAAACAATGCACTGAGTCCAGGGCTTAGGCTTAAATACTTAAATATGCATACGTTTTAAAGGTAAAAAAGTTTAATAAGTCATTAATAAAGGTAATAGTGTAGATATTTAGGAATCACATGACAGCCATCTTGGAAAATGGCGGCCGTTACACGCTATTTTATGATTTTTGCTATAACTTCAAAAGCAATGGAGCGATTTTGTTCTTATTTAATATGTGCATGTGCTGACTTATAAGCATGGCACACTATCTTTTGACACTTTTTCATTTGGGGGCCATTTCTAAAATGGCCGACTTTTTTTACATGATATATTTCCAAAGTAAAATGTGATTATTGCATACACATGTTGCGGCTTTGCAATATAGCATTATAAGCCACCGTTGAATAATAATGAGATTAGAAAAAGGAAGTATATGAATTTGCAATAAGGAAAAGAATAATTGTGTACAAAATTATACTGTTGGAGGTGAAAGAAGTACCTCCATACTTGCACACCTATGGATAAAAGCTTGAGTGAGCTTTAAAATTTCAATATTAATTTCTTTTAGCAAACTTCTGTCTCCATACAAAAATAGTGATAATTTGTTTTGCTGGTTTTAAAATTTGGGGTAATTAAAATTTACATGAGTAAATGCGCATCCTCTAAATCCTGATGATATCGTGAGCTAAGGTTGCAGGAAAACATGAGCTGGACATTTGTTTAATTGCTACACCCACATTTGCATGTAGGGGATGGTACATTGGTAACACTGTGAGCGTAAAGATTGGAATGAAAGGTCATATCGCAACGCCCCCTATTTAGAGAAATTTCTTGGCTCCTCATCTAGGAGATCTTAGAAGAATTAATGATATTGGTAGTCAGTAATTCTTTTTTAAATTGGATTTTAAAGTATTTGAATTTGGTGATTCTTTAAGTTCGGGTGAGATTTCCAGTCACTGATGGATTTAAAGACACATGATCTATTTAAGAATGTTGAGGTTTTGACTGGAATTTGGTAGTCACGGCTTCTTCGTGTTATTGATGGTAGATTCCTACGGTATTGATTAAAGATACTCATAACATAGAATAGAAGCATATTGTTGTGAACTCGGTACATTAGGAAAAGTCTATGCATTTGTCTTCTATCAGATCGTTTTGGCCAATTTAAGCAGTTAAGGGCTTTTGTTGAAGATGTTCCATGTAGTACGCCTGAGCAAATGCAGGCTGCTTTTTAGTACATCTGATCAATGAGTTTAGTTTTGTAATATACAACTTTAAAGGATATCCCAAAAGACCAAAATTGGAAGTATGAAAGATTTGAAAATTAATTCCAGGTGTTTTTCCATTTAATTTTTTGCTTATCAATTTAAGTGGGTTTAAGAATTTATCAATCCTTTTGGTAAGCTCTGTGATGTGTTGGTCAAAAGTTAGGTGTTTATCTAGAATGAGGCCTAAATGTTTATGATGATCACCTCAAGATAGATCATCATTTCCAATTTTAAGGTCCAGAACTTTGAATTCACATTTCCTTGGGTTTGAAAAGAGTATGTCTTTACTTTTAGAGGCCTTGAAGTTCATTTTCTATGTCTGGGACCATTAGAAAATTGAGTTGAGATCAGTTTGTAAAATTGTATTACTTTCAATAAGATTTGATTTGGAATATAGTTGGTAAAGAGATGTATCATCTGTATAAATATAGCATTTGCTTGATTACGTTTCAGGAGATCATTTATATGTATCAGGAAAAGTAGAGGTCCAAGAATAGAGCCTTGCGGAACGCCGGCATTTATACAATCTTTGTCACTTAATTCAAACTCTTAACCATCATGGCAACCTTTTGCTTTTCTCTTAAAGAGATATGACGCAAAAAGTGTTAGAATGTTTGGGGCAAGGTCGAGTAATGATATACCGAGAAGAAAATTGGCAAAGAATCTGCAACTATGGATGGGGTATCAACGATGCTACGGTTGTGTGTAGGCAGTTAGGATACGATCCTGATGGAACTGAAACGCAGTTATATAAGTCAAGTATGCACCTGTGAATCATATCATGTTTTTTCTAAGAATGAATTGCTTCGTTTGTAACACAATTGTCGAATGTATGACATTGTCAGTATCTAATTTCCAGCTTTAAGCCTTGATTAAATGAAGTATTAAACATGTGAAGAAGTCAGCCAAACCGAATGGAACCGATGCAGCGACGCATTTCGGGTGAGAGTGAATAGCTACAAGTGATTGCGCATGCGTTACAAATAACGTGTAGACATTGTAAATAAAACTAGATTTGTGAAATTGAACAAGTTCAATTTAAGACTCCAGATTTATTTGACCTAGATAGATCAGTAAAGAGCTGAGTAAGTAACTGAGTAATTAGTTGAGTAAGTACCTTAGTAGTAGTTGAGTAAGTAGCTGAGTAAGTAACTGGGTAAAAAGCTGAGTTAGTAGCTGAGTAAGTAGCTAAGTAAGTAATAACTAATTAAGCAATTGAGTAAGTAGTCAAATAAGTAGCTGAGTAGGTAGGGAGGTAAAGTAGGGTATGTAGGACTTTTTGAAAGTTTATTTGATCAATCTGCATCGTGAATACTGGCAAGTGCGAATTTCAAACTTCAAAATGGCTTAGAATCTTAACCAGGGGTCGGATTGCAATTTTAATTTCAGATCCGGATTCCTTAGGAAATTATGCCCCTAATTCATAACTCATACGTTAAATTTGGAGAACTTTTTATTTTGACCTACATTTCGATCACCAGATCTCAAAAGTGCGTCTAAAAACTTCTTGACGGCAAAAAGTTAACATTATAAGCACACTCTTTGCTACATGTATACAAAATTTCGAAGAATATCATTGAAGTGTAGTGTCCGAATTGCAAAAATAAGAAAAAACTAAGAATTTGACCTAGATTTTGAACTAGGTATTTTGGTGTCCAAATTTTGAAGGAAAGTAGCTTTTGAGGTCCCCTTCTTTTATGGGCTTTCATTATGTTTAGCTGTACTCATTCTATATCTTGTATTTTTACACTTCAAAAAATTATTCGGTCCCATTGATTTAACATGGGGCACCAAATTTAGCGATTTTTGAGCTTTCAAAACATCATAACTTCTGAACAAGATGTCGAATCGAAATTTAATTTGCAGATTCGGATTCCTGACAAAATTCTACCCCTAATTCATAACTCATACGTTAAATTTAGAATTTTTTTATTTTGACCTACTTTTTGGACACGCCATAACTTCCGAACCGGAAGTCGGATCGCAATATGGTTTGCAGATTCCGATTCCTGACAAAATTCTACCCCTGATTCATAACTCATAAGTTAAATTTGAAGAATTTTTTATTTTGACCTACTTTTGGGACACCATATCTCAAAAGTGGGTCAAAATACTTCCTGACGGCAAAAGGCTAACACTATTAGCACACTCTTGGCTACATGTATACACGATTTCGAAAAATATAATTAAAGTGTAGTGTCAGAATCGCAAAAATAAGGAAAAACTTTGAATTTGACCTAGATTTTGACCTTGGCATTTTTGTGTCCAAATTTTTAAGCTAGATGGCTTTTGAGGTCCCCTTCTTTTAAAAGCTTCCATTATATTAAGCTGAACTCAGTCTATATTTCGTATTTTTCACTTCAAAAAAATCTTTTTTCCCATTGACTTAACATGGGCACCAAATTTAGCGATTTTTGAGCTTTCAAAACGATATAACTTCCGAACCGGAAGTCGGATCGAAATTTGGTTTTCAGATTCGGAATCCTGAGAAAATTTCCTACAAGACCAGTAGCGTGGACATTGAATTGGGAGAACTTTATTTTGGACCTCGTTTTCGGACACTGATATCTCGAAATCGGTTTGAGATATCAAAAAACTAAATCGACCTATTTTCCCCTACTTTTTTATGAGGAACACAATGAAAAAAACCCGGATTGAAAATATTGAAGGACGACCGAGAAAATTGAAAAAAGTGACAAAGTGCTGGATTTGACCTAGTTCTTGACCTTTGACCTAGATAAAAATTTGACCTAATTTCCCATCATCCCAGATACATTCCCTAGTTGATCATGTAAGCAGCTTAAAGTAAGCTCTTCTAGTTGGTGAGAAATCTGGGAAGGAGGAAGAGGAAGAAAGAATAATAATAATAACTAGACATGTAAATTGAACAAGTTCAATTTAAGACTCCAGATTTAAAACTTTTTTTAAGCTGAGTCATCCAAAATACTGTAAGCTGAGCCATTCAGAATAAGCTGAGTCATCTAGAATACAGACATTTAGACAACTCTTAAGTAAGTTATCTTCGTCTCCATTGGCTTAACATGGGGATATCATAATATCGACTTTTCGAGACTTCAAACAACTATAACTATCTAACCAGAATTTGGGTCGAAATTTGGTTTGCAGATTCGAATTTCTGAGAAAATTCTACGTTTGTGTCATAACTCATACATTAAATTTTGAGAACTTTTTGTGTTGACCTACTTTCCGGACGCCATTCCTCAAAATCGGTAAGAGTAATCAAAAAAGACTAATAGTGAATAGTGACAAAGATAATTGACATAACATGGGATATCAAAATACCGATTTTTTAATTTTTCAAAACGCCATTACTTCCAAACCGAGTGTCGGATTGAAATTTGATTTGCAGATTCGGATTCCTGAGAAAATTCTACCCTTAATTCATAACTCATACGTTAAATTTGGAAAAACTTTCATGTTGACCTACTTTTCGGACACTATATCTCAAAAGTGGGTCAAAATACTTTTTGACGGCAAAAGGCTAACACCATTAGCACACTCTTTGCTACCTGTATCCAAAATTTTGAAGCAAATAATTAAAGTGTAGTGTCAGAATCGCAAAAATAAGTTAAAACTATAAATTTGACCTAGATTTTGACCTAGGCATTTTGGTGTCCAAATTGTGAAGCTAGCTAGCTTTTGAGGTCCCTTTCTTTTATAGGCTTTCATTATGTAAAGCTGTACTTAGTCTATATCTCGTATTTTACACTTCAAAAAAATCTTTTTCCCATTGCCATAACATGGAGCACCAAATTTAGCGATTTTTGAGCTTTCAAAACGACATAACTTCCGAACCAAAAGTCGGATTGAAATTTGGATTGCAGATTTGGATTCCTGAGAAAATTCTACCCTTAATTCATAACTCATACGTAAAATTTGGAGAACTTTTCAGTTTGACCTACTTTTCGGACACCATATCTCAAAAGTGGGTCAAAATACTTTCTGACGGCAAAAGGCTAACACTATAAGCACACTCTTGGCTACATGTATAAAAAATTTCGAAGAATATAATTAATCTGTAGTGTCAGAATCGCAAAAATAAGGAAAAACTTTGAATTTGACCTAGATTTTGACCTAGGCATTTTGGTGTCCAAATTTTTATGAAAAGAAGGTCTTGTGGTCCGTTTCTTTTATGGGCTTCCATTATGTTTAGCTGTGCTTAGTCTATATCTCGTATTTTACACTTCAAAAAAATATTTTTTCCCATTGAATTAACATTGGGCACCAAATTTAGCGATTTTTGAATTTTCAAAACGCCATAACTTCTGAACCGGAAGTCAAATCGAAATTTGGTTTTCAGATTCGGAATTCTGAGAAAATTTCCTATAAGGCTGATATCCTGGACATTGGATTCGGAGAACCTTTTTTTGGACCTCGTTTTCGGACACTGATATCTCGAAATCGGTTTGAGATACCAAAAAACTAAATCGACCCTAGCTTTTCTACTTTTTTATGAGGAACACAATGAAAAAAACCCGGATCAAAAATATTGAAGGACGACCGAGATAATGGGAAAAAGTGACAAAGTACTGGATTTGACCTAGTTCTTGACCTTTGACCTAGATAAAAATTTGACCTAATTTCCCAGAAAGCCAGATACATTCCCTAGTTAACCATGTAGGTTGGATTAAGTAAGATGTTATAGTTGGAGAGAAAATCTGTTAGGAGGAAGAAAGAATAATAATAATAAGAAAACAGGCAAAAACAATAGACTCCAGATTTTCAATCTGGAGTCTAATAATAAGAAAACTGGCAAAAGCAATAGACTCCAGATTTTCATCTGGAGTCTAATAAGAGAGTCCAAAATAAAAAAAAACTTGGTGAATGATTTCAGATCGAAAGAAGGATAGAACAAATTCAATTGACAAGTGGGGCTATGTACCGACACGGCAATACGGTGTTCATAGTGTTACGTGTAATGGGAATGAATCATTTATTGAGCAATGCAAAATGACTTGGCAAGAAACACAAAAATGCAAAGTAATACTCTCTTGAGATTTTACCAATGAGTATATATTTAAGCTTCTCCGGTCCGCGAGACTCTGAAAACTACCGGAACAACTATTGTTGAATAAATTTTTAAATATTATTTATTTAGTTAAATGTTTATTATTTCTATTCACTGACAGGGTGTAAACGCGTATTTTGAAGCTGAGGCTTTACTTTTCCGTTAAGACATCTGAAACCAATCGACGTTGTAAACAGGAACAACAAGACGCCATTGCTATATGCAAGAAATATGAAAGCGATGACGGTATACGTAGAACTAATGAGGGGATGATAGAGCTTAAACACGAGGGGGTCTGGATAAAGGTGTGCTATTTACACGGTAAACAAAATATGTAACCCAAACAAATGTTAATTTATAACTCATAAATCAGGCTTTGGTTTAAAGTCAAATTTGGTACAATATATAAATGGACTATTTGCTATTAATCATTTGAGTGTAACTAGATGAACCTCTCGATATACTGATTTTGATTTCGCATGGCATTGTAAATGTGGCAATTGAGATTTAGCTCGACCATTTTCAGAAAATTTGAAAATTAAAAAATGTAAATAATTCTGTCGTATGATCTGTAAAATAAAGCCCTCTGATTGGTCAGTTCGTGTGCTGTTCCAATCTTTATTGTTACTGAGATTGTCCCTATCGATCATCTCCGTAACAATACAGAAAATATTAGTATGGAGGGGACAATCTCACTAGCGATACAGGATACAGAATATTTCCTAGAGATTATCTCCTAAGTAAAATGTATTGGCCAAAGATCCTACGATAAAAGCGTTATAGAATGATTTGAAGTGCAATACAGGATATATTCTGCTCTCGACTTCATCACGTGCCAATACAGAATTTTGCGAGCAGAATATATCCTTCATTCAATAACTTAAAATGTAAATCTAAGTTTTTCTGATAGAAAACTGCAAAAAGAATTCAAATATGAATTCGACAAGATTTCAAAGATATTTAGCACCTCCTCTATTGAACATTGTTTCCATTTGACTTAGATTCATTGGTCCATTTCCAATGGTCACGATTATATAACCATTTCAAAAAACCTAATCAAAATGCAAAAACATGCCAAACCACCCCTATATGAACTCCCAGACATTTATTAGTTATCAGACATTTATCAGTTATTAGTAACAAGGTAACTATCAATATTTTATGAATTTCCTTTTTATTGGCATGAACTTCTGATTATCAAAATCTGGTTAAAAATGCGTTGGACTCTGAATATCTTTCGTCAAAGAGCACATAGAAGCGGCATATTGTGAATGCTTTAAGAAAATTAGGTATATGTCACAGTTTTAAACATTGCATATGGTGGTTGATATTTCAAAAATATGTAAATATCAAGGCCAGTGTAAAATTATGATGCATTTGCTATAAAGTTCTCATGCATTAAAGACGAACAACTTCAATAGTTCAAAAGGATGCATACTGTGTAACCTTTGCGAAACTGGAACAATTGAACGCTTTACAATGTATGAGCCATATAGGCACAACGTATTTGAAGCCCTTTTGACTGTCGTGGAAAGTTTTAGGTCTCTCAGATAATTCATGTTACACATTAAGAATTGTATCATCATATGTACACAAAATGTACAATCACAGGACCAGCCCGTTGGCTCTGCTTGACACATAGTTTATTAATCACTTTATTCTTATGTGTTCTAAAGCTTTTATCACATAATTTAATCGTATTCTATTATAGTTTATCGTATATGTAAACTATATTATACTAAAATGTATGCTTTCGTATAAATGAGGCAATTGACATACAGTACAATACAATACAATACAATAGAGTACAATAACTTAGCCCCCCCCCCCCCCAATATAACGGAGCAATTTCACCTCCTCTAGACATATGGGTTACTCCGTGCTGAATTACTTAATAGTTATTTACCTTGGTTTGGGTTTGACTTGCCTTATAGGACATACGTATGGACTTGACAAAGCCCTCGCAGATGTAGCATGTAAACAACTTGGCTACAAGTTTGGTATAGAAGGGGTTGGCATGAGCATTTTTAGAGGTCATTATGGAAATTACGACATTGACTGTGATGGGACAGAACAAAAGCTACAGGATTGCAAACGATTTCGTTACGATAATGAGGACAAAAGAGCTTGCATGCACAGACTAATTGTGATATGTGAACCAAAATTTAGACTTAGACAAGGAGGAGTTACATCTGGTTTAAAAGCAGGATTTTTGGAAATATCTACACCGGAAGGATGGTTCCAAGCTTGTAATGTACCAGCATATCAAGGGTGTAAATGGCTTGGCTTGGAGACAGCTTTTGCCACAATGATAGATAGCATTGGGCAGGCACGTCCTTCCATGTTTGTATATTGTGGCAAGCCAAAGAGCGAAAAACTGTCACAATGTAGAAGTATAAGTAGAGGGCCCACAGAATGTCCTGAAAATCCTCTTTGGACATCATGTTCAGATGAGCCACTGAATAGTATGTTTACATTTAAAATTCAGTGTATCACCAGAAATATTCAAAACACTTCACCTTAAGCCAACGCGATTCGGAAAAATGTCATCAGTTCTCGATGTGCCATTAGGTGTTGACTAAGAACCTCATGGAATTAATTCGCTTCATAATGATATCATCCTTTTGACCTCCATTTTATCTAAGTTCAATACACACTTTAACATTAAATGCAAACATTTTATTTGTTTAAAAGGTGCTGTCTCTGATGCTGTAATAAAGCTTGATGAAGGATCATATGGTGAATTAAAAGTCTATGTTAATGGCACGTGGTTAGCAGTGTGTAACGATCGACAGTATGTCATCTATGAAGATTGGGCCTTTCGTCTTGCTAAAACAGTCTGCCGTCAGCTCGGCTACAACTCTAGCAAAAAAGTTGTAACATTCATACAAGTCCGGGGTCGCAGTCCAGTTTCTCAACTTTTTCTCTATACGGATATTTCCTGTAGAGGTACCCAGGAGCATTTGGAAGAGTGTCAACACACTAGATGGAAAACTGGAATGGGAAGCATGTGCAGAAGTATTTCAGTATCCTGCGACATTCCATCTATCAGACTGAGTGAACGAACACATGGTGTTGTACAGCTGCGTTTTAATGACTCTATGTGGCTTCCTGTATGTAAACATTGGACCTTGGGTTATGAATACACATGGGGCAGAGAGGAGTCTAGAGTCTTGTGTAAACATCTAGGTCTTAAAATAGGCAATATTTTGACGTACAGGTACATGACAATGTATCCAGGAGATCATGTGTCCACAACCATGAAGTGTAAAGGCTCCGAAAGTGGCTTACATGAGTGTGAACGCTTTCTGTGGTCCCTTAGGGGACCATCTTTCGACAATTTCTACACTGTATATGTTGCATGTGATATGTCCAAAGATGTAAAAATACATTTGAGAGACCCGGATGGCCCTTCTGGTAAGCCAGAGTTCCTGGAATCGAAACTCTGTAGTGATAAATGGACTGATATTGAGGCGAGTGCTATATGTGAAAATTTAGGATTCCAACCTGAACATGCTATCTCTGTATTTTATGAACAACGTTCAGCTCGTGATTTTTTGGGGGATTCTTGGAATTCATCTTCATTTGAATGCAGTAAAAGCGACCATGGTTTTGAATGTGAGATGAGGAAATCTCCCCTTTGTGCCTGTGAATATTGTAATATAGGGGTACAGTGCATGGGCCATAAGCCAGGTTAGAATTATTATTTGTATGTTGAATTCACGGTGTCCAACCCAAACGCTCTTACATGCACGATGGAGCGTTTCAATCCAGCGGAAACGCTGCGGAGCGAAATAAAGTGGCAGCTAATGAAGATCCCACTATGACCGTAAGTATTGTTTCACTCGTTTCTCTGACATACCACACGTTATGGTGACATATTTTGTACCATTTGATGAACAGGACCCTGAGCAAAGATCTTTTTTATTCAACTTCTGGTGATAAACTGTTATTCTCTTGATCAAAGCTCCGTATTGTAGATCGAACGAATCTGAAGATGACGATTTGATCACAAATTACGAATTAAACTGGTATTTATAAAAAACACCAATCTTTCTGTCAAAGTAGTAGATCACAAACTCATATATTCTCATTTGCTAAAATCCGAGTCCAAATCCATTACTTGTTCTCGAGAAATTGCTTGTTTTCCCTGAAATGCTCTGTCGAGTTTGGACACAATTTTAGAAACGCTCTAACCGTTTTGTTTTGATATTATTTTCAGATTATTAGAGAAAAGTTTGGAATCGAATCTATCTCTCAAAAACATGTTGTACTTGTTTGGCAAATTTTTTCTACTCCGGAGCGTTTCTTTGTTTAGTTTCAGTAATGAAACGCTCCATCGTGCATGTACGAGCGTTTGGGTTGGACACCGTGGTATTTGTCACGATCGTAGATGTAATAAAACATTACGTGACAAATTTAACCCCTACCTTCACAAGGGGATATAAAAGATTTGCATTTCTGAATTCATCTTGTACAAATGAAAATGTCACATTTTCAATTCAGAAGATAAATTATTATTTTATATACAAGTACTTATCGTTTAGTTATAAACGAAAATGTAATACTTTTCACTGTATGTCACATGATAATATAATATCATGATACCTCTTGGCTTACAAGATATATTGACATTGTCTCTCACGTTAGTACACCTACCCTTCACTGCAAAATGTGTTGACCTTTGTCTCTCCCGTAAATAACAAGATCTGTCAGCGTTAACCTTTGCATCGCCTTGACTATATACCTTGTATTACTAGCTTTGCTATTGTCTCCTACTAGCAAAAAATATGTTGACATTTGCTTTTCTCTTCCCCGTAACTAAGAAGCTAAGTTGACGTTTGCTTTTTCTCCCTTTAGCTCCGAATGGCTTTGATATGTTGATCTTTGCTTTTTCTCCCCAAGGGCTACACAGATAAGTTCATCTTTTCCTTTTGTCTCCCCAAGGGCTACACAGATATGTTGATATTTGCCTTTTGCCCCCCCCCCCCCCCAGGGCTACACATACTTGTATAAGTTGATCTTTGCTTTTTGTCTTCCCGGAACTACATTGACTATTTATCTTGAGCTAACCTTTTTGTCTCCCCAGGCTAGGACTACAAAGATACGTTGACCCTTGCCTGAGTCTCCCATATAGTTAAGATATGTCGACCACTGCATTATGTTTTCACCGAGGCTGCAAATTCCAGCTTCCGCCGCCCTAGAGGCCACCTTGACGTGTAATTCGTGTTTTTTCTTTTTGGTTGCCTAGATATTGACATTTAATTGTGTTGTATATTGTTGTATTACCTAGATTTGTTGACTTTGTGTATACATAGCCAGAATAGCAGTTATTTTGTCAAATAGGTATCCATGAATACATCAAGGTAATGCCAGAGTTTCCTCACACTGGTCAAGTTGAAGTCCATATCCCAAATAAGCCAATAGGATCTATTTGTGCCACAGGCTGGGGTATAAAAGAAACACAAGTTGTATGCAGACAAGCCGGGGCATTTAACGAAGTAAAGCGTTAGTATTATAACACCAAGTGAAGAAAACCAATTATCATACACTGCTTTGATATCGGTTGGAAGAAAGAGATGACACCATAAACGGATGACACTATAAAAGGATGACACTAAATTGAACTTTACACACCAAATGTTATGATATTTTGTTTACAGGTGATCTAAAGGTCGCATGTACCTATTGTCATGTCTACCAAGATTGCCCTATTAGCCCATCCATAAAGTATAAAGTTTGGTCATGAAATTTCTTTTAAATTCATTATTGATGTTAATTCTTATGTACTAAGTTTGAACCCAACACCCTGCTTGTGTATGTGACATATTATTTTGTTTTTTTAATCAAAAAATAAGTTCACAATCAAATATTAAGGAGTTCCATATAGCTTACATATCATTCAGAAGAAACTCCTAAAATGTGGTATTATACCTGATGATATATAGGGTAAGTAGTATTTAATATTCACTTTAGGAGATGGTACCAAGTGTTCACATCAGTTGATGTAGATAGATAAATTCTTGTGTAATGTGTGGTCATATGAATTATATGCAATTAATTTTCCCTTCTTGATAAATGTTGAAGGAGTTCTAAATCAACATCAGCAAACATTCACATAATCAAATAGAAAAAATGATAAATTGCCTTTGAGGTTCTTCTTACAATGAAATAATTGTGTTTGTTTATTTCGATTCTTTTGTTTTCCTTTTCTTTTCACCGTAATTTGATTTTCAATTTCTATGTATTTGTAAGGGTTGACCCCAAAGACAAATCTGTAGAGTAGTATATTACATGTGGTGACATATCTGAACTTCTTCATCATACATGCTGAAAATTTACAGAATATTGACAAAATATGAAACAATCTAGATGAGATACTCTAAAGATGACAATTCTATTACTTCCTATCATTATATTCCACTATTATTTTAGAATTACAAGTGTCATCCTTTTTCTGCTAGTGTCATCCTTTTCAACTAGTGGCATCCTTTTTCTAAGTGTCATCCTTTTTTGGCGTCAGCCTTTTCTTCCAACCGCTTTGATATTCCGCTATTGTAAAATGGATTTTGTAATAAAAGCGAGCATGCCGTGTTTAGAACCTACGTGCAAACTCGTATTAGGGACATTTAATGTGTGCTATTTAATGTTAACAAGTACACAACTGGTTATCATCACCATGCGATATATACTAAAATTATTGCTTATTAATTCTGAAAAACAGCTTAGATTATTTGTGAGACAAAATCAAAAGTTATCCTCTTAACATTAAGATTTCAGCTATGCATTGATACGATTTCAAATAATTATTTTGAGAAAAAATACTAATTCAATGTAGCATTTAAATGATCGTTATATGAATTCTCAATTATGTCTCGTTTTAGTTTTAGTCAATTGAATGTGTTAAGCATGTGTTGGAGGATACAGATCAAATGGACATAATAAAACGTATTATTTTTAGAAGGATGAGATATCAAATAATCCCCCTTTGGGAGCTGGTTGCCGAAGCACATGATACATTATCTAAAATAGCACACTTTAAATGTCGTTGATATTTATACACATGACACAGGCTTTGGTAGAATAACAGAATTTGAATATATTTGAATATATAAATTATCGTAAAACACATGAACCTCAACATAGAAAAATCGCGTTGTACTTCAGAATTCATTTTGTTTTAAACATACGTACATGAATTAACGAAAGGTCGAGGACATAATATAGTTAAGTACCTATGTATCTATATCATATAGGCCACCCGGGATAGCGATGAATGAGGAAATATTTTTTGGTGTATATACAATATTGATTCTCGTCCACCGAGAGCTTACACAAGAGCAGGATTTAGAAGGCACGAACTGACTGCGCAATAGTCATTGGAAGACTACCTTAATTGACCTCATCCCCTGAATATTTTTATTTTGGTACAAAATGTAAATATAAAAACACAAGAGGCTATGTGACAGATATTCCATTTACTATATTCACTATATTCTCTTGCTCAGATAAACCCATGTATACAGGCGTTGACACAAATAATATAACAGGAGGCAGAGAAAACCCAATATTGCTAAGTGATGTCAAATGTCATGGTGATGAAGCAAACATTGCCGAGTGTAACTTTAAGTTTGGTGATGAAGTGTCTTGTATATTTAAAGAAAGAGCCAGCGTATTTTGTCATCGGATTCCGATATGGATGCCTCGATCTCCCCGGCGTGGACTGGTCAAACTTAACATCGGACATCAGGAAAAAGACAAATGGCGGTGGTTATGTGGTGAAGATGTGGATAAAAACACTAGAGATGTGTTTTGCTTTTTTGTAACTTGTACAAGAAATTCAAGCATACTCATTTCTCGATACGGCGTTCCAATTTCCAAAATGCGTGCCTATTTCCTTGTTTATAATAGGCTTAAGAAGTACAGACCTCACAATGCATTTCATTGGCCTGTTGTCAAGTTAAAATGTCTGGGTCATGAAGTTTCTATCGGACAGTGCGAATTGAAAGAAAGTTACAACTGTACGCAACTAGCTGTCATTGGCTGTCGTGGAAGCCGTTGATATTGAGTGACGCACGAGTACAAACCAGACCCCATGATTCAGTGACAGCATTTGAGGACTCACGTACATTAACGTAGCCATGCATGAGGCAGACGAGGAAACTGCCTCGCCAAAATTTTATAATAACATATTTTTTCAAGCATTTTTTTAACTAAACTTTTGGAAATGAAGTCAAAAGGTAACAATTCACCTATTTTGGTTAAATGATTTTTGGTTTCATGGGGTCTGGTAAGTACCCGAACGACGCGATGAGATGATATTAAATGTAATTTAATCAAATAAAACACTAATTACAAATTAAAACCATTAAACGCTTCATGTTTAATGATGCCTCGACATCTGAAGCGATTCAGCGAAAAATTGAATTGACTCTCTTGTAAGCCATTGTTTCTGAACCAAGAATGATGTTTTTGGAGATGTTGGATCAAAAGTGATATTTATGATTTTTCACTTTCAAATATCTTCTGTACTCTCTATAAAAGAAAGTTTTTCAAAGACACGCTAAATATCACATACCACTCTATATTCCAGCTCATCTTAATATCTACGCAAAATTCTTGCTAACATATACATGTAGATATCCTGAAGTTACTGTACAAATTACGTCTCGTTCTTTTAATAGTATCGATAGAACTTTTATATTCATTTCTAGCCTGTAAAGAAATAGTGTATAAAAGTTAGACCCTGACTTTAAAGGGTGACGCATATCGTTTAGCAAATCGAACGCTCGTTTCTGGTGTTGCTCACCGTTTAGTATAAAAGGCCCGATCCCGGAATTATACTCAAGGGTTCACAGGCTCGAGGTCGTTGTGTCAACACCTCTAACTGTTATATAGTATAAGTATATTATAGATCGTCACATATTTATAAAAGGGTGATTTTTATTTTGACAAATCAATTCCACATTTATGGGTGAAGTTTCAGGAGCTTCTATTTGTGTATAATAAGGAAAAATTGACATCTTTTCCCCATAACGTAATAGCATACAGCTTGGCATATGAAATATCCTACAAATGAAACAAAGCAGTTCTAATACAAGGATTTATATTGGCTGTTGTACATATTCTTTGAACGCAATCTCTCTATGGATAATGTTTTCAAAATCATTATAAACGGATTACTTTATCTCAAAGACAATTTCAATAAACTGGATTTTACAGAACTCCCCTTATTTCTTAAAAATGAACTGATCCAGTTGATTCACCTGGAGCCGCCATATTGTTTTTATACAGGATGCTTATCGGAACCCTTTAAGTACATTTTTGTAGTATCTTTGCATCTGAAAGAAACCCGATAGAAATTATTCATACCTATGGGGCATCGCTGAACTATTGCAATCATTTATCGTCTAGCGACATCTAATACAATAATCAATAGCTATTATTAACGAAAAACAAACACTAACATAACAAAAGAAAAGGTCTAAATTCAGTATGAACCTGATGCTTTGATTCATACATTTTAGATAATCTTGATTTACTCACATCTCATATCCAAGATTTAGACAAAGTGATATCATATTTTAGAATTACATCTAGAAATGTGGTTTTAAAAATTGCTAATCAACTTTGAAAATTCAATTTTCTTTGAAAACATGATATCTTGGTCGTGTAGATTCCCTCGAGACCTCCATCTTATAAAATCACAGAAAGTGGAATATATTTGCTTGTATTGGACAGATAACATTTTCTTTTACTGGACATATATTTATTTGTATAATTATTAGACACACAATGGTAATATGAATATTGATCGACTAAAACTGATGAATATTCTACTACCTCTGCCATGTTATCTGACCCGAACTAGCCACCTGGTGGTGAAATTGCTAGCTACCTACTGGCATCTGGGTAATATTAGGACTTTATGTTGGGAAAAATAGGCGAATATCGACAAAGCAACCTGTTGGGCCTCCTAATAAATTGTTAACGTTTCCGGTCTTTTTTCATGTTGTCATATCACGTTCTTGTGTAAAACTCGTGAAAAACGATCATGTTTAAATGTTATATTGAAATATCAAATTGAACGGAGTAGCAATAAAAAACCTGGCGTTCATTGCATTTTTAACAAACTGCTGCTCGAAAAGTATTGGTAATATTAACCTTACTCTGACTATCTACGGATTTCCATGATGCGACTTTGTGGTGCCATTCTGGTAGTCACATTTTTAAGCAGTGAGTATCCTATGGCTAATTTTTCAATCTGTCTTTCCGTCATATTTGATGTATAGGAATCACAAATGGACAAAGCTTGCGTTACAGTATGTAGCAACGTCGTGTCTTTGAATGTTTGCATTCCTCATGATAAAATCTGATAGATAACAGAGATGTTACAATATTACATAAGTATACAATATTACATTAGATCTAATTCTATGGGCAACACATTTAAATATGAATAGTACAGTACGTGCCAAATTCCATTCATATTTTAATGGGTTGGTCATAGATTAGTAGGTTGATTCTATAGCCGACAGCCGAAAGTTGCATTCGCGAATACAAGATAAGTTTGAATGTTAACAAAGAGGCTTGATATCTAATTGAGTTAAATTAAATGTACATATTATTTTATATAAAACTGTTTATTATATTATGTATATATCATAATCAAGCAAGAAACGGGGCGTTATAGACTTTATTATTGAGTAATTATATAACTCTATTAAAATGCTAAATATCTGTCTTAATTAAGTAATTGTCAAAAGGTTCATTGTATAGCTCGCTCAAAATATCTCATATCTTTTAATATTACACTCAATGCATGTTGTATCTTTGTAATTCTAGACTATAAATTCTATAGAACCTCTCAAAGGTACAGTTCGGTGTCACTAAAAGTGGGCCATATCTTTCTTAATCAAGACAATTTCATTATAAAGCATCCTCTGAGTATTTATTTTTCTAAATAAGTAACTGTTAAAGATGTTCAGTATATAGCCCATTGAGAAATATCTTCCTTTCTTCTTCAAGAAACTGTAAAGGCCTCGTGTAAAGTATGAAAATATATTTTATTATTCATTTACTTTTTTCATTAATTTAAAAGTTGTTTTAGATATGTTTGAAACAAATATTCATATTTCCCGCTATTTTTCAATGTTAAACTTTATAAGTCACTTAAATTTTGTATTTTACATAAAGTAAAACGATCAACACAAGTGAATGTGACTCATTACTTCGAATTTGATGTGCAACTCCATGGAGACAGAGCATCTGAAGGACAAGGTCGAGTAATGATATACCGAGAAAAAAATTGGCAAAGAATCTGTAACTATGGATGGGATATCAACGATGCTAAGGTTGTGTGTAGGCAGTTAGGATACGACCCTGATGGAACTGAAACGCAGTTATATAAGTCAAGTATGCACCTGTGAATCATATAATGTTTTTTCTAAGAATGAATTCTTGCTTCGTTCGGAACACAATTGTCTGTTTTTCAACTTTAAGCTTTGACTAAACGAAGTGTTAAACGTGTGATGAAGTCAGCCAAAACCGAATGTAACAGATGCAACGACGCATTTCGGGTGAAAGCGCATAGCTAAACGTGATTGCGTTACAAATAACGTGTAGACATTGTATATAAAATAAGAGAGTCTAAAATAAAATAAAACTTGGTGAATGATTTCAGATCGAAAGAAGGACAGAAAAAATTCAATTGACAAGTGGGGCTATGTGCCGACACGGCGATACGGTGTTCATAGTGTTATGTGTAATGGGAATGAATCATTTATTGAGCAATGCAAAATGACTTGGCAAGAAACACAAAAATGCAAAGTAATACTCTCTTGAGATTTTACCAATGAGTATAATTAAGCTTCTCCACGAGACTCCGAAAACTACCAGAATTACTCAATATGTTGTATAAAATTCAAGTTAAAAATGTTTATTATTTTTTATTCAGGGTGTAAACGTATATTTTAAGGCTAAGACTTTACCTTTCCACTGAAACATCTGAAACCAATCGACGTTGTAAATTTCAGGAACAACAAGACGCCATTGCTATATGCAAGAAATATGAAAGCGATGACGGTATACGTAGAACTAATGACGGGGTTATAGAGCTTAAACACGAGGGGGTCTGGATAAAGGTGTGCTATTTACACGGTAAGCAAAATATGTAACCCGAACAAATGTTGATTAATAATTCATATATCAGGCTTTGGTTTAAAGTCATATTTGGTACAATATATAAATGAACTATTTGCTATAATGTGTACAAAAAGATGGCATCACATGACTTGCGTTATATGGATAACATAAACCATCATTTGAGTGTAACTAGATGAACCTCTCGATATACTGATTTTGAATTCGCATGGCATTGTAAATGTGGCAATTGAGATTTAGCCTGACCATTTTCAGAAAATGTGAAAATCCCGAAAATTGAACAGATGTAAATAACTCTATCGTATGATCTGTAAAATAAAGCCCTCTGATTGGTCAGTTCTTGTGCTGTTTCAATCTTTATTGTTACTGAGATTGTCCCTATCGATCATCTCCGTAACAATACAGAAAATATTAGTATGGAGGGACAATCCCACTAGCAATACAGAATACATATTTCTTAAGGAGTATCTCCTAAGTAAAATGTATTGGCCTAAAAGCCCACAATTAAAACGTTATTGAATGATTTGAAGTGCAATACAGGATATATTCTGCTCTCGACTTCGCCACGTGCCAATACAGAATTTTTGCGTGCAGAATATATCCTTCATTCAATAACTGAAAATGTAAATCTAAGTTGTTCTGATAGAAAACTGCAAAAAGAATTCAAATATGACTTCGACAAGATTTCAAAGATATTTAGTAAATCCTCTATTGAACATTGTTTTCATTTGACTTAGATTCATTGGTAAAAAACATGCCAAATCACCCCGATGTGAACTCCCAGACATTTATCAGTAATCAGACATTAATCAGTTATTAGTAACTATCAATATTTTATGAATTTCCTTTTTATTGGCATGAACTTCTGATTATCAAAATCGGGTTAAAAATGCGTTGGACTCTGAATATCTTCCGTCAAAGAGCACATAGAGGCGGCATATTGTGAATGCTGTAAGATCCGTGGAGGTCAAGCAATTGTTTTTACGATGCTCATGTTATGGCAAACTTTTATACCTAATTGATTATGTCACAGATTTAAAATATTGCATATGGTGGTTGATATGTCAGAAATATCTAAATATCCAGGCCAGTTTAAAATCATGAGGTATTTGCTATATTATTCTCATGCATTGAAGACGAACAACTTCAATAGTTCAAAAGGATTCATACTGTGTAACCTTTGCGAAACTGGAACAATTGAACGCTTTATATTAAAGTGCCCAATGTATGAGCCATAGGCATAACGTATTTGAAGCCCTTTTGACTGTCGTAGAGGGCTTTAGGTCTTTCAGATAATTCATGTTACACATTAAGAATTGTATCATCATATGTACACAAAATGTACAATCACAGGACCAGCCCGTTGGCTCTGCTTGACACATAGTTTATTAATCACTTTATTCTTATGTGTTCTAAAGCTTTTATCACATAATTCAATCTTATCCTTTTATAGTATATCGTATATGTAAACTATATTAAACTAAAATGTATTCGATCATATAAATGAGGCAATAGATATAAATTACAATAAAATACAATACAATACAAAACTAAGCCCCTTAACCCCCCTCCACCCCCCCCCCAAAAAAAAAATTGCATTTATTTGTGGTTCAAGCTAGAAAAATAACTAATTTCACTTCCCCCATACATATGGGTTACATCCATGCTGAATGACTCACCATTTACCTTGGTTTGGGTTTGACTTGCATAGGACATACGTACGGACTTGACAAAGCCCTCGCAGATGTAGCATGTAAACAACTTGGTTTCAAGTTTGGTATAAGTGGGGTTGGGATGAGCATTTTTAGAGGTCATTATGGAAATTACGATATCGACTGTAATGGTACAGAACAAAAGCTACAGGATTGTAAACGATTTCGTTACGATAGTGACGACAAAAGAGCTTGTTTGGGCAGCCTAAATGTGATATGTGAACCAAAATTTAGACTTAGACAAGGAAGGGTTACATCTGGTTTAAAAGCAGGATTTTTGGAAATATATACCCCAGAAGGATGGTTCCAAGCTTGTAATGTACCACCATATCAAGGGTGTAAATGGCTTGGCTTGAAGACAGCTTTTGCCACAATGATAGATAACATTGGGCAGGCACGTCCTTCCATGTTTGTATATTGCGGCAAGACAAAGAGCGAAGAACTGTCAGAATGTATGAGTATACGTAAAGGGCCCATAGGATGCCCTGTCTTTCCAAAGTGGACGTCATGTTCAGATGAGCCGATGAAAAGTATGTTCATATTTTTAATTCTGTACACACGAAAAAACAAATGTTTAAAACATTTCATCTACCCAACGTGGTTCGGAAAAAATCATCAATTCTCGTGGTGTCATTTGGTGTTGACCAATAACATCATGGGATTTATTCATTATGACATCATTTAGACCTCCGTTTCATCTTAGTTAGTATCACATATGCTTGAAGATTTTAAATGCATTAACGTGATATGTTTGTTTAAAGCTGTTGTTTCCAAGGCAGTCATTAAGCTGGATAAACAATCATATGGTGAATTGAAAGTATACGTTAATGACAAGTGGTTAGCAGTGTGTCGAGATCGAGTGTATACCATCTATGAAGATTGGGCCCTTCGTCTAGCTAAAACAGTCTGTCGTCAGCTCGGCTACAACTCTAGCAAAAACGTTATGTCATTCATAAAACTCCAGGGTCGTACACCGTTTTCCCAATTATTTCTCTATACAGACATTTCCTGCAGAGGTACGCAGAAACATTTAGAAGAGTGTCATCACACTAGGTGGAATACTGGAATGGGCAGGATGTGCGAAAGTACTTCGATATCCTGCGATGTTCCATCTATTAGGCTAAGTGAAAGAACATATGGTGTTGTACAGATCCGTTTAAATGACTCTGTGTGGCTTCCTCTGTGTAAGTATTGGTACCAGGGTCATGAATACACATGGGGCAAAGAAGAGTCCAGAGTCTTGTGCAAACATCTAGGTCTTAACACAGGCAATATTCTTACGTATAATTACAAAACACCGCATCAAGGAGATCATGTTAGCACAGACATGAAATGCAAAGGCTCCGAAAGTGACTTACGTGAGTGCGAACGATTTTCATGGTCATTCATGAGACCAGCTTTTATTTGTCACACTGTTTATGTTGCATGCGATATGTCGAAAGATGTGAACATACATTTGAGAGACCCTGATGATCATTCTGGTAAGCCAGAGTTACTTGAAACAAAGCTCTGTAGTGATAAATGGACTGAAACTGAGGCGAGTGCTATATGCGACAATTTAGGATTGTCACCTAAATATGCTATACCTCTGTTTTATGAACAACATTCTGCTCATGATAGATCGAATTCTTCTTCATTTGAATGCAGTAAAAGTGAATATGGTGTTGAATGTGAGATGGAGAAATGTCCCTATTGTGACTGCCTTCATTATAATGTAGGGGTAAGGTGTTTCGACCACAAGCCGGGTTAGTAATATAAATTATTATTATAATGATATTTCTCTAATTTTTTAAGTCGTAGATGCAATAAAACCAATATCTGTTATCCATCAACCATTAATCTGAATGAAACTCCTAACTACATACACAGACGTTTAGCTGAGTTTTGGCGTCCCACATGTTAGGAGGGACTATGTGTAACAGAATAATGTACCAACAGACATCTTTGTTTTGCTTTTAATGGCGCAAGTTTGAAGAAAAACGGTGCAGTATAAAACTCACAATTCTTGATTTTGAAACACCTATTCGGTTTCAAATTAACGGTTTTTAATTTACCCTCGAGACACAGTGTGATTCACAAAGTTTCATCGATTATTAAGGAAATTATTCCGAGATAAAAGAATTGCATTTTTGAGGCCATCATGTAAATACAAAAATGTCACATTTGTTCCATTTATGAGATAAATAATTATTATTTTGTTGACCTTTGTTTTTCTCCTTTTAACTCCAAAGTTCTGTGGACCTTTGGATAGATGCTCTGTCGATGTGTTGATATTTATTTATAGTCTCCTATGGGGCTGCAATGATATGTTTACATATATGTTTCCATTTGTTTACCCTTTGGCTGGAAGGATATTTTGAAGTTTGCTTTTGTCTACCCTTGCTTTGCTCTCCCATTTTGCTATGAAGATAAGTTGACCCTTGTTCTTTTCTCCCTTTTGCTCCAAAGTTATTGACCTTTGAACACTGTGGCTAGTCGATCTATGTGGATGCAGTCAGACACATGTACTTTTTCGTGAGTACCCGCCTCTCTACTTTTCAATGGAAGAATTTTGCACTTCTGTTTAAATAATCTATATTTACTCATCCGTGTATATCATACTTCATTGATTTACAAAACCAAAGCTACGCTATAAACACACATTCTCTGATATTTTTACGGAGAATAGATAACTCAAACGAGTTCATTCGACCAGTTTTATCATCTCGCTCATAGCTGTGAGAAGGTATGTATAAGTTGCCATAGGTTTACCTTATAATGGGGAATAAATATGTCTGTGTGAAGTAAAATACAAATACAATGCGTTTTATAATATTTTTGGCGTTATGGTATGAAATATCCGCTTTAAAAAAGCAATTTAATTATGATGTATCATGTGGATTAGTAGACGTTCTTAATGGATTCAATAAATCAAAACGTTATCTGTTCTGATCGGGTGTTTCTTGAGAGTTACAATATATTATGTTATTAAATGTACATTGGAATGTAAGCAGTCATTAATACTCGTATAAATGAAATCATGCAATTCAATGTTGATTCGAAATCAAAACTGAATTCGCGATGGATATGCACGAAGACCTAGTCCGGCAATGTAGGACCGTCATTGATTGGTCAAATTTTAACGAGAAAAACATTGGGTCGGTAAAGCATGTGGCTTTCTCTTGGGTACAAGGCGGTTATAATAGAAATCAAGATAAGTAAAAGAGACCGACTTGAGCAAGGCTATGAAACTTGATTTTTTAATCATTTTATTTAACCTAGAAGGTAACAGTGAACAAGTACCATTATAACCCTATTGGGTTCTACAATATATACATTACAAATAGCATGTAAACTTAAATAAAACTTAAATAAATATGACAGATGAATCTCTGGGTGTGTTGAATGAACTTCTGTACGTGAGTGAAAATAGTTAAATTATCATTGACGGATATGACATCACTGCGATGATTTTTGAATGTTTTGCTAAGTTCCGGTAGTTCCCAGTGTTCCCAATATCTCTCACTAGGGTGGCACGTGGGGCAGCGTGAAGGGGACAGTCAAAGAGAAAATGAGAGATATCCTCTTTAAAATAGCCACAAGGACAGTTTTGAAAGTCAATAAGATGATAAGAAAATCGCTGAGCATTCAAAGCACTAAGACCCATATGAATTCGAGAATGATTGATTGATGATCTGTTTGCCTTTAAGGAAAATAGTGGATTTTTGGGGTTGCAATGGGATAGTTTGTATTTGTGTTTGAAAGAGGAAGGTAGCTGATGCTTTTGAGTTCTTTGCTTAGATTGTTCCATTTATTTAAAATATAAGGTAAGAAGGAGGAGGAGGTCATTTTAAATCGGCAGTGGGGTAACCTAAAATCATGGATGTTTCTGAATAAATATCTCTGTTGGGGGTTTTGGATGAATGGTTGAATCAGGTCACTTAGGTATTGGGGTGCATTTTTATTAGAAATTTTATGAAACAGGAATAGAGCATGTATTTCTCTTCTTTTCTTTAATGTATCCCAGCCGAGCTCTTTCAAAATATTATTGAAGTTAGTGTGTCTATAAGCTCTGGTACATATAATTGCTGCATCCCTCTGAACTTTTTCTAAGATTTTGCTTTGGTTGTCAGTACAGTTATTGTATATGACATCACAATATTCTACGACAGATCTTACCATCGAAAAGTAGAGAGTTTCCAAGTGTTTTTTATCAAGATTGTATCTTAAAGCTGATCTTTTTATTAGGGATAGGCGCCGATTTGCTTTTGAGGCAATTTTATTTATATGAGAGTTCCAGTTCATTTTGGACTGAAGAGTTAGCCCTAGGTGACAATCTCTTCGACATTCCTCAAAATGGTATTGTTTAAAGTTAAATCAGGGTAAAGAAATTTGTTCTTTTTCAGAGTTATGGTCAAAAGTTTTGTCTTATTTGCGTTAAAAGTAACTTTCCATGTTTTGGACCATGCTTCCAGGCGTGCCAAATCACGTTGTATCTTATTTGTACTGATTAATGGGTCTGATACAATCTCCATTAGAGATGTATCATCTGCAATAAGTTAATATCTGTTTCCATAGATGCTACTATATCATTAATATAAAAAAAAGAAATAATAAAGGGCCTAATATAGACCCTTGAGGAACACCAGCTTTAAACGCCAATCTGATTCAATTCCACCCGTTGTTTTCTATTTGAAAGGTAACTATCTATCCATCATGCAATGAAATCCATTCAAGAGTTGGCCAGAAATCCCATGCATTTGTAATTTGAAAATAAGACCACGGTGCCAAACTTTATCGAATGCCTTGGAGATATCTAGGAAGACAAGAAGAATTTGTTTTTGATCATCTAAACCATTATAGATTTTGTTCACTAAGTTCACTAACTGATTCACAGCTGAGTCAAGTGGTTTGAAAGCAGAGCTTTTGAGAGTCGATATGTTGTTTATTAAACAAAATCTATAAATTACATTAAAACGAGACGCTCAAAAACTTTGGAAATGCAAGAAAGTAATGAAATTGGCCTGTAATTTCCCTTGATTTTTCTATCATCTTTTTTGAAAATCTGCGAAACATTTGCTTCTTTCAAGGTTGAAGGAAATATTCTAGTTAAAAGAGAATGGTTGAAAATACCGCATAAGGATGGTGCAAGTCCTAATGCAAATTCTTTTAAAAGTTTATTTGAGACATTATCTGGACCATTTGATTTAGATATATTGAGAGAAGAAAGGACTTTAAATACTTCATGCTCTTCAAATTGAATTAGATCAAGTCTTGTATTAGTAATATATGTCAAGTTTGGAAGAGGCGGATCATTTTGATTAAGTGGTAAGATAGTTTGGTCGGCGAAGTAGTTATTCAAAACGTTTGCCTTCGCTTTAATGTCAGTAATTATAACATCATCATTTTCAATGAGAGGAGGTATACCTCTTGAAATTTTTGAGCCATATAAATTTTTCAAAATAGTAAAGTATAATTTAGCTGAGGTTTGATTGTCGGATAATTTTGTTTTGAGTGAATTAGTAAGGTCATTTTTTGCTTGGACGATTGCGTGCTTAACTTCGGTTCGTTTTCTACAAAATTTCTCATGATCATTTAAATTGCTAGATATTTTGAATTTATAATGAAGAGAATTCCTCTGTTTAATGAGACTTTTTATTTGTTTAGTCATCCAAGGTTTGTCTCTGTTTGAAACTGTAATGATATTTCTGTGTACATACAAATTCACACAGGACCAAAATAGCAAGTACCAATCTCGAAGAATGTCATCTATGTTAATGTTGTGAAAATAAATTACCTCCCATGGTAAGGAGAGAAGATGGTCGCCTAAAAGCACAAAGTTTGTGTTTTTGTAGTCAAATATTGTTCGTTTATATGTAAGTCTTGCTTAACGCTTAAAATTGAGTGTGCCAAAAATGAAGCAGTGGTCAAGATTTGCAAGTGGTTCACCTACCCCTGAATTCAAAATAAAAGCTGGGGAATCTGTTATTATAAGATCAAGAATAGAGTTACCTCGAGTCTGTGTCTGGATCATTTGATAAAGATTGAAATGAGAAAGTAAATCAACAAGTTTGTTGCTTAATTCGCTTTGATTATGTTGGGAGTCCCATGAAGTGCAAGAGTCATTAAAATCACCCAGTAAGACAAGATAATCTGGTTTCAGATTCACTACTTCATTCAGATTTTCAGATAAAAGATCAATAAAATGGTCAGCCTCTGTTTGGTTCATTCCTGGAGGGCAATAGCAAGTAAACTTGATTTGTGGGTATTCCAGTGGGTTGATGGGTCTTTGGCTCTGAATTCATTTCATTGGCGTACCTAATTTCAACATTTTCATTGTCATCGTTACATGTTATGGACCCGTTTTTCAAATAAAAGTATTAGGGATAAAACCATAGTTTTTTCATCTGTAATGGCATTTCCAGTTGATGGGTTTATATATAGTATTTTCAATTCTTCATGAGGCGGTTGTCTTGTTGTCTTGTGTGGCTAATCACTTTACTGAGTGACGAATGTTTATTCAAACAATGGATACAAAGAAATCTGGCCAGTTGTCCATCAGTAAATAAATCATCATGATTAAAGTATAATTTAATATAGCATCCATTTGTTACCGTTCTGAATCCAAATGATACATAGTGGCATCCATTCTATACATATATGTTGACGTTTACGAAATGTTTTTCAAATATCTTCCCTATAACAGGAATATGGAAGCTGAAACTTTCACACATTGTCATACTATGTATATTGAATATGTATGTAAGATTTCAAGTCACTATGTTAAGTAGAAACTCTTAGATCACTCACTTCGATTTGCTGTCATATTTTTGCAATGATCCCATTCCCTATAATGTACGCGAGTACCCACGATACATTGCATATAAATGACTGCATCCACATAGATCGACTAGCCACAGTGTTGAATTGGTGTTTCTGCTGTAGCTAAATAGACCTATTGACCTTTACTTTTGGTCTCCCCTATGGTTCCATATATATGTTGACCTTTGCGTTTTGTCTCTCCTAGGGCTTCAAATATGTTGTCGACCTATGATTTTTGTATGCGCTAGGGTTATAAATATATGATGACCTTGCTGTTGAGTCTCCCATAGGGATACATATATTTGATATATTTTGCTTTTGTCTACCCCTAAGCTTAAAAGATCTCTTCTGCCTCGCTGGGGGTCATTTTGAGGTGTTGTTTGTTTTCTATTTATCTGCCTAGATGTTCACATTTGTTTTTGTCGCTTTGGCTATCTAAAGTTGAGTCAACTATGAGTTTGTGAATATATAGCTAGAATACCAGACTAAGGTAGTTATTTCATCAAATAGGTATCCATGAATACATCAAGGTAAAGCCTCAGTTTCCTTACACCGGCCAAGTTGAAGTGCATATCCCAAATAAACCAATAGGATCTATTTGTGCCAGAGGCTGGGGCATAAAAGAAACACAAGTGGTATGCAGACAGGCTGGAGCATTTAATGAAGTAAAGTGTAAGTACTATAACCCCCAGTCAACAAAACCAATCCTCATACACTGCTATTATATTCCGTAATGTAACCCCCCTATCACACCAAACTAGTTCTTACCCGTTCTTGCCAGTCCTACGAAAACGTCGTAAAACGGGCTCAATCTGGCTGTGGTCGGGAAATATGTCTCAAATAATTAGCCACTTCGTTCATAAACAGTCTTCAATGCGTCCATCTCATTCGCAGTTCGTTCAGGTCGCACCACGTCGGTGTGCAACGTCGTATAACGCGTCCCTTAGTCTAGAAGGTCATCATGACCTGATTTCAGAACGGTATGGTCGCAATCGAATTTTGAATCATTTCAGAATTCTAAAATCACCTTCCCATCTGAGAACGTTCATGAAGTTCGTAAAAAGTCCTTAGAAAGTTGCAGCTACGTTCATTCCGTTCGCACACAGTTTAAAACCAGTTTTGAAGAACGCATTGGCAGTTGATCTGAAAGGGATATGTTATGGCGTAATTTTGAAAGAGAACTAGTTAAGAGCGGGTTTAAATAAAGCAAGCAAATTCAATTGCCTGCTTAACTCGTATTTTTGCAAGGATTCGGATGGATGGATATTTTATCATATGACTTGTGGCAAACCTACCATTTCCAATAGACTAGATGCGAGTAGAAATAATCTTGATTTACGTCATTAAATACTCAAAATTCATTCAAAGTGATCTCATATTTGAAATCTGCATGTGAAAGTACATCTAGAAATGTGGTTTCGAAAATTGTCTATCAGCTTTGAAAATTTTATTTTTTTGAAAATGTGACTTCTTGTTCGGGTTGATTCCCCATAGACTCCATGTTACAAAATCACAAAAAGTGAATTATCTTCTCTTGTATTGGACAGATAACATTTTTTTTTACCGGACATATTTTAATTTGCATAACTATTAGATACATAAGGGTTATATGAAAACTGAACCACGCAAATAGATGTAATTTAAGTTAAATGGAACTTTCTACCATACCCGCCATGCTATCTGACCCGAACGAGCCACCTGGTGGTGAATCTGGTAACTACCTACTCGCATCTGCGTTATTGGTTAACATGGGAATGTCGATTTTCAAAAATTCATCAAATTTATCATCAATTTTCGACTTATTGTAATTGAGGAAAAAATTGACAAAATTTGGAGGTATTGGAAATAAAGTCAAATTACGTTTCACTTAATACTTAGTATTTTCTTCGCTGGTTATGTAAATAAAAATTCAAAGGTAAAGAGGCTTTAACACGTAGTTCAATGGGGGGAGCTAAGGTTGCCAAACATGTGGAGGGGAGTGTATGTTCTTATTGAATGTGTTGAACTTTTATGAAACTTACAAATATTCGCAAAATGTGGAAGTAATCTCTACAATGCAGATGGAAAATAATGAAACGAAATAACTATATATTTATAGCGCGAGACATCTATCGGCGAGCTCAGAAATGAAAAGCATGAACCAATTTGACGCGTCAGAACAGCAACTCATCCGCCGTGAAAACATTGATAAAAACACACGAGGTTTGGAATAAGTATTCAAATTGTGTAAGTAACGACATTTTAACTTCCAATTCAAAGTTCAAACTATATTCTCTCTCACTCAGATAAACCCATCTATGTAGGCGTTGACACAAATAAAATAACAGGAGGCAGCGCTGACACAGTATTGATGAGTGCTGTCAAATGTAATGGTGATGAAGCAAACATTGCTGAGTGTACCTTTCAGTTTGGCGATGAAGCATCGTGCATATCTAACAGTAGAGCCAGCGTTTTTTGTCATCAAATAGAGATTTTCAAGCCAATAGAGCGTGGACTGGTCCAGCTGAACATTGGACATCTGGGAAAAGACAAATGGCGGTGGTTATGTGGTGATAATAACGATAAAAACACTAGAGATGTGCTTTGCTTCACTAAAACTGGTACTAGAAATTCAAGAATACTTCCTTCTCGATTCGACGTTTCAACGTCCAGTGTACGCGACTATTTTCTTGCATATAGGAGGCTTAAAAAGTACAAACCTCACACCATATTTTATTGGCCCGTTGTCAAGTTTAAATGTCTGGGTCATGAAGTTTCTATCGGACAGTGCGAATTGAAAGAAAGTTACAACTGTACGCAGCTAGCTGTCATTGACTGTCGTGGAAGCCGTTGATATAGAGTGACGCACGAGTACAACCAGACCCCATGATTCAGTGACAGAATTTGAGGACCTACGAACACTAACGTAACCATGCATGAGGCAAACGAGGAAACTGCCTCGCCAAAATTTACAAAAAAATCAAAACATTTTTTAAACTAAAATTCGGGAAATGTAATCGAAAGGTAGAAATTCACCTATTTAGCCAAATGATTTTTGGCTTCAATGCGATGAGATGATATATAATGTAATTTAGATACAACGTAACTGCAATCAAATAAAATACTTATTACAACTTAATACCATACACCTTATGTTTAACGATGGCTCGACATATGAAACAAGTCAGCAAAATAGTGAACTTACTCTCATTGAATATGAACAAATAAGGAAAGTATTTCAAAGACACGCCAAAGACCACATATCACTCTATTCCAGCTCATCGTATCTACGCAAAACATGTTATCGAATCCTACGACCACTGTCAGTCAATAGCCGTACACTAGTACAACGTCGGTGTTATGTAACGCCGGTGTTCATAAATATGTACCAGTGTTACATCTAACTTTAGAACGGCGATATATACATTATTTTTATGGTTTACATATGAATCCAAACACCGTTTATATAAACTATACGCGGATGCACTCATAGCCTTATAGGAACTTGTGAACGATGGATGTCAGAAAATGCTGTCGCTGTGTTCCATTTTCTTGGTGTAAACAAGAAATCTGGACCGTGTATTCACCCTTGGTATACGCAGCTAACGAAAATTGTGAAACTCACAAGATGTAAATAGCATGTCATTTACATCATACCTTGATGGGGAAAAATAGATCTTATATGTTAGAAGTACTAAATAAAAGTTATCGTGAAAATGAGACAGTCGTTCTCGAGAGAAAAGAGCATAAATGCGCATTTAGAGAGTTTTGGTCCGTTTAAAAATCTGTAAAAAATTGGGGTACTTAAAAGCATCGGGAGGCATCATATATTTCAAATTAGACACGAGGAATTCAATATTGAGCAAGTTATGGCTATTTTAAATTCAAATAAAACCGTTAACCCGTACCGGTCCAGCTTTTGACCCGTACCGGTCAATTTTCGTTAGCTGCGTATACCAAGGGTGGTATTGAGAAAATCAAATTGAGGTTAAGCATGGACGTATATACGTTGATAGACGTCCATGGGGTAAGACACGATATTCAGATCCTTCGTAATCAAATAAGGTATGCCATATCCACATTTGCTAGTGTTAGGGGACAGTGGTTACCGAAGGAGGATGGGGCAAGATGGGCCACCAAGTTTATTTTATCGTTTTGAAATATATATCTCCTTTGGATATGATCTCCTGACAGGGATCATTAAAATCAAGATCATCTTGGCAGTTTCCCGCTGTAATTAGTCGATTCTGGGCATTATTGGCCAAAATGCCATAATACGTCACTTCCGCTGAATATAATAGTATTCTCTACAAGTATGGATCGAGTAACTTCAATAGTATTACCGTAGGTTTGAAATGATGATGTTGAACTGATGTTAACGCCATTGGCCAAACTGCCCTAATACGTCACTTCCGCTGAATATAATAGTATTCTCTACAAGTATGGATCGAGTAACTTCAATAGTATTACCGTAGGTTTGAAATGATGATGTTGAACTGATGTTAACGCCATTGGCCAAACTGTCCTAATACGTCACTTCCGCTGAATAGAAAAAAGTAGTTTTAAAAAATGAATGTAGTCCCAACACAATTGTGATCATGACGAGTCAGTAAGCTAGTATGTAGATACAGTTGTCATCTTTTTGCAATGACAACATGCCATTTCTTCTGAAAATGCGTTCATTTGGATTATCTGAAGGAAAATTTCGAGTCAAGTGGCTTATTTATTTTGCCTTCATTTTTGTGAATTTCAATTTCTATCGGCAGAGAGAGGGGGTAGTGTTAATTATTTCAAAAAGTAGATGTTTGGCCCCTATTGAGTTAAAGTGCCCGATAAAGTATAAAATGCGCATGCGTCCAGGTGTTGATAAACTATAAATAGCGAAAATCCAGGGTTTGTCACCACAAGGTAAGCCAGGACGTGTTGAGAGAACAGCTAGTGTTGATATTGAATTTATATGTAGCCAGATAAGTTTCCTTATTGAAATTACATATGGTTATTAGCAATACTTTGTAGGTGCTAAATAATAAAATATTTAGAGTATATATGAGAGAAATCGGTCATTTCGAACCTGTTGAAAAGTTTGTGGCTCTCGGCTACACCGGGGAATTTACTTCCATGAGTACACACATAAATGTGGGGTTCCCCAAGAGGTACGCGACAAGGTGACCTGGCATCAAATGTGCGACTAAATGCTACTATCGAGAAGATAAAATAACGAATACGACAATAAGTTATTGCATGTGACAATTCCGAGCCTTCATCTCACTGAAGTATTTTGAAGTGAAAATAGGGTTTTTGTTTTGATACATGGATTCAGATGAACGTAACTTTATTCTGACAACAAATCAAAACTGAACAAAATTGATTGTACGTAACAGACAATTTATTGTTTTCCAATGTTTTGATTGGCTAAACGAATGAAACCAACAAATTATGACATGTAAAATGACAATTTTGAAATGTAAAATTTAAAAGTGACAAACACAACCTCCCTATCCACTCTTTGGGAGCCCTAGAAAATTAGTAATATGTACATGCAGCAGTGGTAGTGTGCAGCTTATTATCACACTACGCTTTGTATTCTAAAGCCTGTTGTTTGTAATTACACTGTTCACTCAACGTATGTTTTGTGTGTGGGCAGTCAACGATAATCATTGTTTTATCCCGGTTATATGACCTCGGCAATTATAACAAAACCGTACTAAACGAAAAAACGCAAATAAGAGAAAGCTTTCACACACATATAAAAAATGAACTAGTCTAATCTGCCAGTATAAACTCTGTGCTATACGTAGCCGGGTCAGGCGCACACTTTAAGTGTCAAAATGTAGCTTAGACATAGCTTTAAAACCTCAGATAGGCCGGTGGGGCACATAAATCCATAACTCGAGATAAAAAGGCAGGCGTTTGCCCTTTTGCCCATGGACTAGTATGGTGACGTGAATTATGGTTGGTTTGCCATTATGACGTCAAGATCACCGTGCGCGCGCACGTTATGACGCCTGCGTTAGCCCTGCAGTGTTTACATTTACCAATTAGAGCCGACGCGAGGTTTTAGCCGCCGTATTAATCCATTTTTTAGCAGGGTCGATAACGCCGGCGATAAGAACATACGCATCCTGTTACACTTAGACATTTATCCGGCGTAAGAGCTTTCTCTGGCGATAAAAGTGCTAGTGTAACTAGGGCTAATGTTTCTACTAAATGTTTGAGAATGAACAACGCATTGCACACTTAAATGAGCTACCTGGATACATTCCTTAGTATTTTAGAATTTTTTATGTATTTGAATCGTCAATTGTATGGGTTTATCGGCAGAACAAAGAGATTTTTCCATTTGTAAACACGATACAAATATATGTCTAACGAATATGGCATATTCATTCGTGGTGACAGATTCACCTGCGGTATATGGCATACTAACTATTAACTAACAACTGAGAATGTGAAGCGGAAGTACGCAATTGCCAATTGCATCGATTGAACGAACGGGTAAACGTTTATAAATTATCATAACGATAATTGAATAAACAGAACAGTGCATTGAATATATCAACAAAATTGCAGAAGCATCACTCTATATTCGTCAGCAACCACACATAATAAACTTACGTTTTCACCTGCGATATATGTCATGCTCGTGTGCGGTATATGGCATATTCCGCAAGTGAGTATGACATATTCCACAGGTGACTATCGGGTATTCGCTGATAAGAATTTATCGCATATTCACTGCGAAATATGCCATACGCACCTGCGGAATATGTCATATACCGCAGGTAAGTACAGCATATTTACCCGTATCACAAATACCGTGCAGCGATGAATATATGCCATATTCCGCGTAACATCGTTCTTTCAAATATATAGTATCGGTAATTACTTTAATATTTATTTTTAGACTGTATAAAAATCGTGTATGCAAGTAAGATCCTTACTTTAAGTACATTTTTGTTGTATTTTGATGGACTTTTTTGTACTTAATTGTTACTGAGTACCGAGAGATGAAATAATTTTAAAATAACAATATGGTTCATGGCTGAACTTTTTTACTAGTGTATCGTTTAGTAACATGTAATAAAAGTATCAATAGTTATCATTATCATTAACGAAAAACAAAAATTTACGTAACAAAATAAAAGGTCTAATTCGGTTATGACCCGGATGCTTTGATTTTATACATTTTGGGACATGAATTTATGCCAATTTGATACGTGGACATAATAAGCACCATTCAGGAAAGCACAATGGTAACTAAAAAAACAATAGAACAAACTTACAATAAATCAAACTAACAAACGATCGCGAACATACAAACAAGCAGCGAAATTTCGCCAACAACATTTGCTAAAAATATAATTTACTGTATGAAAAGTACAGGAAATTTACGACTTCTTCTGTATTCTCGATTCTATATTCTGTCTTTTGATGCATCATAATTGTGAACTCCACCTATATATACCTTATTCGGAAATGAGCGAACACCATCAAAGTGAATGATATCCCGAGTAACGACCCATATAATGCCTGAACTATAGACCACTTTACATCAACTCAATAAAATTGATGTGATTTTATTGAATATAATACATTCATAATTCTTGCACAAGTCCACAAGTGGTAACAAATTAGTTTCTTTGTATTGTGCGACGTTATCAACAACTAATAAGTCATAACATACTTACGAACCATTTAGATTGTTTTACTTTTTGTGATAATAGGGCGTTTTGTTATTTTCAACATTTACAGGTAAGACTTTTTTCCTAGCCTAACCTATCCTTACCAAAACTAAAATTATTATTGAAATCTGACATATAATTTCAAAAATATAAAACTGAAACTTGAGTATTTGATTAAAATAAAGTTTAGCTATTTCAATATTAGATTAAAATAAAGTTCAGGTGCTTTCAGGTTTTAAAATACATAACATCGATATGAAAACAAGAGGAATGAACATTTTTTCGCTGTTCCTTCTGCTCTGTCTCTTGGAGGTAAGTATCACATAGGCAAACTTATATATCATATAATATGAATTGATAGTCTAATGATAATCTAACGAATGTAAATGCAACATTATAAAGAAGACGTTCCTCGGGCATCAAAAAATATTTTGACAATCGAATGTTTAATTTTACATAAAACGCGTTACTACACATATTCATTGTTTGCATAGCAATCGCTCCTTCACCTCATCATTATTCAATTTAGGATGTACGTTCTTTGATACCTCCAGTCGTCGAAGCAAGCGATAGTGAGTGAAATCTTTATTTACGCTTATACTTTTAAAATTCCCGAAATGTCCATGTTTAATTATTTTGAATATGTTACAATTCTTGAAATCCTGTTATTTTGTTTGTGCGTGTTCCTGCGTACGTACATGCGTGAATGTTCGTGTGTGGGTAGCATAAAGAGATGTTCGGTCAAGTAAATGATGTCATACATTGTAGTAAAGGTTACATGCGGTACACAGACTGGAATGAGCGAGCCACTGATGATCGGACCAGTTACTATAGTTATAAACGTACAAGATCTTCCGGATGTCAGAAACTACACAGTGTATGCGTTTTCCTCAGACAACCCCCCGTGCGAGTTCAGTGGTTTACTCGATAACAGCACACAAAATCCGGGTACTTTCTTCAACAGGTGGTACGCCTACACTTGGAGCGCCCAAACGCTCGGCATAGGATCGCTAGGTCCATGTGGAATGGAAAGGAAGGTAAGTTAAACACGAGACATAGTGTTTCCTATTAACTACAATAAGTAATTATCTATACACATTGTAACACCAAGCTTTTGTGTACATTTGTAAACGCCCAACTATGTATTCACAATTACATTATATTGTGGTACTTAAGAAATACTTTAACTGATACTAAATACGACAGTTCATCTTTGTGAAGTTTGGAGCAATCAAACGACCCCAAATGTTCAAAACAGATGCGCCTCCATCTCTTCAAAAATATGTTCCATAAATGGATATCACTGTGAATGAATTCATCTTAATACAATAAATAATATATCAAGAAAACACTTACATGATGTATAATCAAATAACTAAAAATACAATATTTTTAAATATTCTTACATAAGCGCTCCGCTCGTGAAGACGTTTTATCCAATGGAATTTTCTATTGGAATTGATCTTGGTTAAATGTAAAAAGAATACATCAACTTATGTGTTTATAACAATATCAAAAGTACCAATTACTTAGTATATGCTTTAGAATGCCAGCACAATTCAGGTGAAGATAGAAGTGGTAGAAGGTACATGTACATTACTGACAGACGAAGACAAGGCGTTTGTTAGTGAATGCGTGTATAACAATATCCAAAATAACAATTACGTATATGCTTTAGAATGCCAGCACAATTCAGATTAAGATAGAAGTGGTAGAAGGTACATGTACATTACTGACAGACGAAGAGAAGGCGTTTGTTAGTGAATGCGTGTATAACAATATCCAAAATAACAATTATTTATATGCTTTAGAATGCAAGCACAATTCAAATGAAGATAGTAGTAGTAGAAGGTACTTTACTGACAGACAAAGACAAGGCGTTTGTAATTGAATGTGTGTACAATCCAGCGGGAACAGGTCCAATCTCGACAGTTAATATTGACAACGATATAGTACCGTAAGTACAGGTTGGGCCAAAAAACGTTCATATTTTTTATTTCGATATAACTTTGAAAATGCACTCCATGAAATTGTTGCATGATATGCAGAAATACAGATGTTCCAAAAGTGGCATAAATAATTCTTAAGGGATATCTTAATAATTCAGGTAAACAGACACTAGGGGTCTGAAAAATTACAGATATCAGGATGAAATTCAAAGGAACAATTTTTACAATGATAATAGTCATGCCTCATATATACATTTCCAGATTGACATTTTATACATTCAGCCAGAGACACATGTTATGTATGATGTACACACTATATATTGTAATTTCTATTTCTGAAAGAAATGAAAGTATCGGATGTGTATTGAGACCGATAGGAAAAATTAAATGGATTGGTTCAACATATAGAAAAACGGATCTGACTATAACTTTTCAGATAGACCCCTAATGTCTGTTTATCTTTATAACTTTTCAGATAGACTAATGTCTGTTTACCTTTATAACTTTTCAGATATACCCCTAATGTCTGTTTACCTTTATTACTCAAGAACCAATCATTGATTTATTTATCCGACTTCAGGAGCAATTGTAGAATATACCCCTATATATCCTGCCTAAATATTATTGAAATTTGTGCATTTTCAAAAAGTTATATCTAAATAACAAATAAGGACGTTTTTGACCCACCCTGTAGAAGTAATTCATCAGGTGTTTTGTCTCCCTTTTCCACTGTCTTTCAATCCCTATTTCACTTTTCCACAACTAGTTACTTTGACGGAACGTCAACGTAACAAAATGGATGAACTTCTTGGATACGAGTTTTTTGTTTTCTCGATTTAAATCTACTTATAGTTATAAGTGATGTTGCGAATTATTATTTGGTACAAAGTTAGACACTATAGTCTAGCTTTAATAGTTTCTTCGGTTTGGATTTTGATTTTTAATTAAAGCTGTAATTCACGCATTTAGACCATCGATCGCTTTTGTTACATTGACGTAAGTCGTCAAAGTAACATACATTGGACATTGGTAATATAACGGATTTTCGTCAATATAACAAAAGCGAGGGGCTAAATATATGAATTTCAACTTCATTTACAGAACAAATTCCAAATCGAAGAAACTTATTAAAAAACTAGACTATATGTTCTAGCTTTGTGCCAAATTATAATCTGCAACTTGACTTATAAGTAGGTTTAAATCGCGAAAACAAAGCAACTCGTAACCAGGAAGTTCATCCATTTTGTTACATTGACGTTCCGTCAAAGTAACTAGTTGTGGAACAGTGCTATTTCATGGCGTCTGCATGGAGCGAATGTTTCGAATTCGAATCAAATATATTAGTCATGAATGCATGAATCGAATGGGCATTTGCCCTAATGCAGGCAAGAGACGGGGGAATTTATAATACTCAAGCCTGGTCATTCAGACAGAGTTCTACACCTCATTCTACACCTTATTTGATCTATATTCCAGATGTATTATTTTCGTGTTATTCAAAATGTATTTCATGCATTTTGGTATAATGCAGGTGTATAGAGTTGACAAAATTGAAAGCAAGTTTCCCGATAGGCTTTCCGACGAACGACTATACCACCTCAAATATTTTATCTCCAGATATAAAAGGTCTTCAGACTATTCTGTTGTTGAGTTACTTGAAATTCAAAATGCAAAATTGCGCAAATTCTGTTAATATCCACATTTGTTGAAAAGTGAACGCAGTTCATTCAGGTCTTTCCTGGAACAGTATTGACATGACATGCATGAGAGGGATTGATATGAGCTCCAAATATTGTTTTGAGACAATTATGGGAAAGTACTTGAAAGAGCTGATTATGCACCAAGGTATTTAGTCTGGAATACATTATAGGCCAGATGGTGATGTTAGCGCTACTGGTACTCCGAATCAGCTTGATAGAACGTATGGATTGACCCTCATCTACTCTACAACAGCCAACCCCGTTTCCAACCCTGTTAATATTGGAACTCACGTCCAGTTAAGAGTATTGGCGAGTGGAGACGATGATGGGACCAATGGCGCAGGTTTGGTTTCTTGTATTTTTCAAATCACGATAATGTCAACATCAGACACAGTCCCAAATCTTCTACTTTCAGTGCTAATTTAAGATTGTACCGACGAAACTAATTAAATCTGATACTACAGTAGCGACATTGAAAAGGAGGGAATTTGTTTGATTTCTCGTTTCAGTCGGAGATGAGAACGGCGTCCGTGTTGTATCGTGTACAGCTAAAAACGATGACGGTTCCAAGCAAGTTGTAATCATAAATGAATAGTAAGTAGATATACTAACTGCTTAGTGCTTACAAACGGTTGGTTGAAATCAGTTTATTAATATAGGGTGTCGTCTTTTGGCTTAGTTTTCCGAGGGTACCACGAATAGTACAATAATGTCATTTCTAAGGGCAATATAGTGAAATATTGGACCAAGGGCCGAAGGCCCAAGGTCCAATATTTCACTATATTGCTCGCAGAAATGACGTTTTTAGTATTATTACCACCGTTAACGACCAGGGCTGAAATAGCAAGAAAATCTTACGCACTGAACGATATCTAATTTCCCGGGGAAAGATTGCCGGTCCAGAATATATTCTAGACCGGTCCATATGGACCACCACTATGACGTCACACATTTCTCAGGTCGATATAGTAAAATGAATGCCTTCTAAACTAGCACTAAAACCCCTAGAACCAAGGGCGTTACAATACCCGGGAATTTATCGGTTCGTGCAGTACTTGTTTGTGATAGCGCCCTCTGTAGGTCACTGTGCTTCATAGCCTACAACAATACGGGGTAGGATATCGGGAATTCGGTCAGTTTCTATCCGTCGATTTCGCTATGAATTGAAGCAAGTGTGACCACTTTATCCACTTAAACAATTTGATAATTGATTAAATCTTTAAACAAAATCGATAAACACGTTATACACTTCCTATCTCCTTAGAAATTAGTATGTATTTATGGATTGTGTTTTCGAACAAGGCTCGACCCAAACCAATAGGGAAATCCTTATGCTAATTAGTATGACGTCATATTTTCCTGGGGAATCCTAGATTTCAAAGCCTCAGTCTGTTATTGTGTCAAATGTAAACGCTCTTTTGCAGACAGAAAATTGACAGATTAGCTTTTAACTTTCAGCTTTGATGTTTAAATAATCTGTATTTCTACCGGACTTCTTGCTGAATATCATATAATGTTATAACTTGATTTGGACCATTGCCTGATTGATCATTCTGAAATTTTGATTGTGATTCATGATTGATTGGCAAGAAAAATAATTCCTATTGTTTTCCAGCGAAGTCAAAATGTTACAGCATGAGTTATAATGTCGAGTTTGCATCATGTTAAATTCTGCTAGTGATTAGAAGTCCATGCACAAGCATACACACAAGAGACAAACACACCCAGGCTCCAGGCCGTGGATGGAAATATAAAACTATTTAAGACACAAACTGGTATTAATAGACCGATATGTAGTGTCTGCCATGTATTGAAGGTAAACCAATCTGCATTATTAATGTTTCTTCTATCAATACATGGATTGTGCAATGGAAAAGCAATGGCACAATCAAAGATGTGCATATCAATCGTGAATATCTCTCGGTTCAAAGCTTATTTCCAACAGGATCGTGTCAAAATATGTGTCTGAGTAACAGTTATACATTATAAGATCGCAAACTCTTACCAATTATCAGCCGAATGGCTCATTTTCAACGAAATGTCCTTAAGACAACAGCCCTGGGTCGCGCCTGAGACCAAAAACTAATTCAAATAGCCCTCCCCTAATTATATTGGATAATCACATTTATGCGTGCGCGTGCAGCTCATCCACTGAACGAAACGCCACTTCCCGCTGAAATCACCGGGTATTGATCTTTCCCTTGCTAGAACTGGCCCGGTAAGGTGGTAATAATGTGAAAAGGACGTCTCTAATTGGTCAAAAAGAGAGGCTCGGCATTCTCCGTCAGATTGAATCGGCAAAATTCGGTTGTATGGCTTACCTTCGGTTGTATGGCTTACCTTCGGCTGCATATCCCAACCTCAATTAAATGGAAAAGATGCTGTCCCTATTCATATAATCATGTCATTCAGCCGAGAAAAGTGGCCTAAGTGAATGACTAGTTCTTTTGATTGTACTATTTATCTTACACAAAAATATAATGTTAGTCAATTTAGCGAGATAGATAATGACGGAAGTAATGCTTGTAAGATTTGGTGCATCAGTTTCCCCAGTTAATAATATAATTTCATCATACAGCTGCAGAGATTTGACATCAGAAATCAAATGGGTCCCCATTTCGCCAGTACCAACGGACCAAGTTGGATTTACAAGCAAGTACTTACAGTCATTTTCACCACCGTTTGAGATGTTTGCTATTACTGGAGGAAGCAGACGCAATCTTGTGACGTTCACATGTGACGTAGATGTATGTCGGACCCAAGATAATTGTGATGGGGTAGGTTGATGATACAAAAAGGCATATTTTTATTTATCCTACACTTAGTGTACTAAATGTATAATAACATGAAAAAATAAATTTGATATTTATTGGCAAAATGAATATCCGGAGGATATCGTTACGATATACTCCGGGCGGAGGATATCGTGACGATATACTCCGGAAAACCCAATATGCGGAGGATATTGTGACGATATACTCCGCTTGTTGATTTCCCGCCAAATTGACTCTATTTGGCATGAAATTCATTTTACAATGATATTATACATTCAGGACACTCCTTGTAAGTGTAGGATAATAAGAACATCCTATGATTTTTTTCAGAATATCATTTTAATCTACTCGGTGATATTGATATATACACTCGTTCGCTTCGCTCTCTCGTGCACATATCAATATCACCTCGTAGATAAAAATGATATTCCTCAAAATCATAGGATATCCTATAAATCTTTAACTTACCATCTGTATCAAAATAAAGATATCACAAATGTGCTGTCTGAGTCTGGGTATTGTGTTAGAGGAAGTATGAACCGGCAATGATGTTTTTAGCTGACATTGTTAAATATATGTCATTTTAAATTTTATGATTGTGAAGTATAATTTCAATTAAAGGACAACTGTCCATTGAAACGGCGAAAACGTGAACTCCTAAACAGCATCCGTGGTCCTAAATACAGCAACGTCGGAGATGGTCACATTCAGTTGACGGCATTGGTGATGGTACAATATGTCGACCCAACGTCTGGTAATAGTGGCGCAGAAAAATGTGAGTCTAGCATTCGCAAAAATTAACATTATAAACCTCATACATTTGCCACATGGCTGTTATAAGTACAATTGGCGAAAAGAAAGCCACAGTGTCACCTATAAATCGCATTGTAAATTGATAACTTTAAAATGTACTTTAGAACATGCTTCTGTAAATATGTTGAATCTCCTTTTTATACTTTTAACCTTTGTATATTATTTATTTTAATTTGATGTACATTTTTATGCTCTCCCCAACACGGAGGAAAATAAAGAAACATAAACATAAACATAAACTCATTAATTATTTTAATTTTTCAGGTTCACGGATATCTGGAAAGCAGTTTTGGATCCTCAGCTTTCTCATCATTATGCATCATGACTCACCTAACTAGACATTCATTGAAACACAATTAAAATTGTTACCCCCATTTTTGACATTTTTGTTGTCTAGAAGTGTTCTAGATGATATCAAAGTTTAAGAAAATTTGAATCATGTCTAGAAATATTTTAAAAATTAGGGCCATTGTGGTGGGTTTGGGTGCTTTTTTGCTGTCATTTTTTACCCAGTTTCCACGGTTGCCTTGGTAACTATTAGGCTTTGCTTACCATGACAACTTGATTCTTGAAGCACATCCACCAGCTAGTGGTTGGGCCAAGTTTGATGGAAAATGAGCATGGCAAGTAGTAAAACGGCAAAACAAAAGATATACTAATTAAATGTATAACAAAATATGTGAAAATTAGAAAGATTGACCGTTTAATTAATCTAAATAATATTTTAATTTAACATTGCTCTCAATCGGAAATTCTTTTTTATTTTTTAGAAAAAATCTCACAATCCATATTTAACTGAGAGGGCGGCGTTTATAAATTATTATAATGATTACTGAATTAACAGTTCAGTGCACAAAATATATCAACCAAAACAATAGACTAGATTCTAGAAGAAATAATCTTGATTTACGTCATTAAAAATTAAGAATTTGGCCAAAGTGATTAGGGAAGATTTCTTATAGACCCCTTGCTATAAAATCACAAATTGTGAAATTTCTTTTCTTGTATTGGACAAACAATATTTTCTTTAACTGGACATATTTCAAATTCTATAGCTATCAGGTACATAAGGGTAATATGAAAATTGAACTACTAAAACTGATGAATATTCAAGTTTAAGGGAATTCTAATACCCTGCCATGTTATCTACCCCGAATTGGCCACCTGGTGGTGAAAAGTGTACCTACCTATCTGGGTAATTAATTAATACTTAAGTATACCCCCGCAAAACATTAGACGAAAAGAAAAAATACATGCATATTTCAGCAATGACAGAATATGAAAGCAAAAAGTAAGAACCGAAAGAAAAGAAAAGCAACGCAAATAGTCTGTAGAGAAAAGCTTAGAATTCAAAACTCGACGACTAAAATAGAATAGAGAAAAAGATGCATCGGAGAATTCATGATTATTAGACAATCTTTTCTGGAAAATTATATCAAATAAAGTCACAAACTTTGTCCTATAGTGAGGGCATCAGGGAAGGTCTTTACATTTGGTATTGTACGAATGTATCTAACACCCCAGTCACATTTGCTACGGCCGCCGTGCGGTCTATCATTTCTGCGGCCAGTGACATTTCTACACTCGTCGTAGAATTTCTGCGGTCGGATACTTTTGCAGTCACATTTAATACAGCAACTGTACGGCGAAATTTGTTGATATAAAAACCACGGTTGCAGTGCGGCCTTTTAAATGGTAAATCACGGTCGCCGTGCGGTCTCCCTACGGAGACCGTAGTTTTTTCTAAATAAAAAAGTGAGACCAAGACCCATAGTAACTTAAGAGGGTGGTTTCCTAAAGCCGATGGACGAGTGCGCATCATTCTCGCGCATCTAACTTTCGGTTTCGGTTTCGATGCCGTGATTTTGTTATTTTACTGTATATTACTCTAATAAATAAAACTTATGTTCAAAATGAATGAAAATGGCTTTATAATATTTATTTGTGGTGAGAGAATTAGTTGCACGGAAAAATAAGACACTCTATTGTCGTAATTTTTGAACGTCTCGGAAACTCCTCACCAATTATCGCCCACCTAGAAACAAGATGCTGCATTGATGACGGGACGATTTCAGTCTCAATCGGGCAAACAGTGGAGAATCGTAGCATTAAACATCATAACAACTGTTTATGAAGGTAAGACGTATCGAATTCAATATCATTTTCTTTTTGTAATCGATTGAAATCACCATATTTAAAGGTAGAAATCGCTTCCTGGTTCTCGATCGGGAATCGTTGTCATTTGCGTAATATTGATTTGATTGGAAAATTCTCATAAATTCCCTTGAAATTTAGTATTAATGTAATAATTTGGTATGTTAATAGTAGATGGTAGTGTTATATATAAATACAATGGATTATTCTGTGATCGTATGCATATAATCACTGAAATTCTTCTCAAAATTACATATGAATTTATTTTGGGTGATCGATTCGTCATGACCTTGATCTTACAAAGCCCATGTTCAAACTCAACAGCTTTTCATGTCCCAGAGACCTCCCATGCGGGCAGAGTCGGGACATCTTAAACGAAATGTTAACTATATTTGACTGCCTATCACAGTAAAAGTACATTTTGATGTGGGCAAAAAGATAATTTTGTCATGGAAAATTACATGTACATGTTTCGTGTACATGTATTAAAAGTGTCCTGTGCGGGAGTACACGGCAATCACATGCAGTTATCACTGGCGGATCTGGGGGGGCCGCCCCAGAAAAAAAAAATTGGGCCCAAAAAAATTTTTGAGCCAAAAAAGGCCTTGAGGTTTTATGGACCACCAACAGTCGCATCAAAATGATTGGGAGGTTGAGGAAGTTATTATGATTAATGATAAATGATCATGCAATGCAGTTAGATCATTTAGATGACTGTCACGTCATTGTCGACAAAGGCCATACATACTTGTCCAGTCAAATGACCTGGAAGTTTTTGAGTACAGGTAATTGTATAAATTACATGTAATATATTGTTCAAGTCATATAGATAGATGTTATATCACCTTTGCCTGTGTAGGCAATGACTAGAGAATACAATAAATGAATAGACATTAAGGCAATCATTATATGATAATCATGACACTTTTTGACAGGTGTAACTCAATTCCCATCCGATTGAGCCAAGATCACAATATGCCTCAAAATATCATGTTTCTGGCTAAACAGAAAGATGCAATGAGTATCAAAATGGCATGGATACTTTGATGTATGGTATCAAGTGATCTTTCCAGCAAGTACTAAATAACTTTAAGTCTAGTTGTTTTTGTAATAAATAGATTATATACAAGGTGGGCCAAAAAATCCATTGTAACTTTTAGTCATGTATTATCTTCAATACTTTAGGAAATTGAAAAACAATTCATTGTCAATATTGTGTAAATATAATTATTGAATATACAAGCTCAAGCTTTAATTACTCACCTCAAGGATTTCCTGAACACATCCTCTCTAACCACCTGAACAATCAGTCTGAGACATATTATGCCAGTTTTGAAAAAAAGCTGGGGTCAGTAAGCTATATTATCCAAGGGAGAGATGTTTAACTTCTAGAGATAAAAACATATGTTTTAATTGATGAAAAGTGTGGTGAGACCATTTGCAGGGCACATATTGTATGTTAAAAAGATATTTCAGAAGTGATGGCTCAAGCTGAGAAAATTTGAAATTCGTCATGACACATGTACTAGAATACAGATCATGATCAACTGACAAGCCAAAAATAAATACATACACATTTTTATATTTAACATGTTCACCAGTAATCATTTTACATGTTATCTGAATTTTTGTTGATTGAGCTGCAATAATAAAGAAAATTGAAGAAATGGAAAAATTTTCTAATTGTTATTGGCCCACCCTGTAGATATGTAAATTTACAACATATTAATTTATGTTCTGCAGGCCTTGTCTCCAAAGATGTCTTGGGTGCCCAGAAAGTTGGCTTCAGTGGATGTATGTTACACCTGACTAACAGTAATTTGACATTATACAAAATTAGCTAGAGGTACAGAATATAAGAGGTAAGAGAACAAGTAATATACAGTAAAATCTGTCCAATCTGAACATCATTGAGAATGGTTAGAAAGCATTCGGATGGGGAGATGTGTTGATTTCGGTTTCTCTATCCGCAAGATTGTGGATTTTAATGCATTCTCAATGAATATTAATATTTCTATTGACCATTTGGCTTCATGGCATCCAAAATCTGAGGCCATTTCATATTTTTCAGAATTTCATATCAAATCAGTCTTAAATTTAAAATATTTGAACAGTTTTGTAAAAATTGTGGAAAGTGTTCAATTTACACATGTTAAATTTTCAAATATGAGTGTCCACCGTTCAAATTAGGATGTTGTCAGATTTCAAGGTTTTTAACATGGGAGTCAAGTCAATGGGAGGAAAAATGGAGTCAGAAATTGTGTTAGCATTTGAAGGTGTTTGGATCAGCCAGGTGTTCAGATATACAGGTTTTGCTGTATGGGATTAACTCATCATTTTTATTATCAAAATAAGATAATAAGTAAAATGTTTGCATCTAATTGAGTAATGATAATTTTCTTACCTTATTCAAAAAGAAAACTACACATAGGCCTTCATAATTTGGTCCTGATTACAATTTTAACACCATGATTGGAATTCCAATACTATGTAATAACTATAAATTACACCATACCTCCAAAGAGGCAACGCCTATTAGAGGAAATGAAGAATAAGGATGTCATTCCTGATGAATCCGGTTATGAAGAGGAAGATGGTTTGCCTACCATTCAGAAGATTGTAGAATTTATGAGGCGCAGCCATACCTGTTTGACCTCCGCCATGAATATCACTGGTGATCCGCTCGATTACGCTGGTTACCGAACGGTAACCAGCGTCTTATCTGTTTTTCAAAATACCTTTTATGTAACATAAGTGAGAAATTAAATCGGCGATTGTGTTTTCTTCTTAGCTGTTTTTCGCAAATATATATTTTCTAAAACATATGATACTGATATACGTTTGTAAGAAAAAACGTCGTGGGGATTCTGCCTACAACGCGTGAAATCGAGTAGATCACAAGTGAAAATACCGCAATACCAAATACATGGGGGTCCAACTATACACGAAAAACTGTTAATTTGAAAAACTGCCAGATGTTTGAAAAGCAAAGATCGTCCGCCTCATACTGCATTGTTTGTATTCAAACTTGTTCCATTCAAAGCAAAACTAAAATGCCTTTCTGTTGGTACATTACTCTGTTATACATGCTGCTTCTCACAGCTTGGGACCCAAACGCCGCTATGAAATTGAGGGACTCTGTACAATAAACCAATGCACTGGCAGAAAGGCAATTTTGTTCTACATTTAATCATATACTCCCTTGCAGTGCTAGTCTTCAACATATTCGGAGACACTGCATGGGCATTCGGCTTTTAATGGAACACGTTTGATGTAGAAATTTGAAAGCCGAATGTGTACAGTAAAAGAGTTTAAATAGATCATAATAAAAAAAATGTCCAAAATTGCAATGTTTTCTTGCCTCGGACACTTCCAGAATAAATATGAGATCATATATGATACTATGTGATTTGTGAATATGTGGATGAGACATTAAAATGACATTTAAGAACCTTCTGCCTATTGCAAGCTCAAAAACCAAGCTGGATCCAATAATATGACAGAAAACCTTACCTAAAACCTGTTTCCAAATTTAAAGTAATTTACCCACAAAACCCTTCGTCAGACGCAAGTCGACCGTAAACCCGACGTGCAGCCGCCGTAGAACCATTGTGCGGTCTGGCTACGACTTGTTGATTTCTACGGAGACCGCAGAAATGAAAAAAATATTATAACTCCGAGTTATAATTTCAACGCCTTCCCTGCGGCCTGTAAAAATCTGCATACGCCGTACGGAGACCGCAAGGCGACCGTAGTTTTCCTACGCTACCCAGTTTCATGAATTATCGCCATATGATTTTCTAAAAAAACAAGTGACCTTTTTTCTGTTAAGTCTTGGTGAGGCAGTTGAACTCCCTTCATCAAAAGCTAGCTGTATTTCTATCATCATTAGTTTTTCCTTCAATCCAGCAATTCGTTAAAGACAGAATCAGATTTAGCAAGCAATCTCATTTTATATTTCAATTTTACCATATCCCTCTAGCATGACCAATAAAGCAAAGATCCCGCTGAAAATGAGGATGCCCCGCTGAAAACATCAGGAGGTCCCGCTGAAAACAGGAGCAAGTGTCTCTCTAAAATGGGGTGAATCCTGATTATATCCTGGAAATCTCTCACTATCGTACCCAGCTTGATCCACTATTGTACCCAGTTTCATGAATACATTATTCGTTGATAAATATCTCAAAAACAGCAAATACAACTGTCAATCTACTATACCTTGCATTTGGTGTTCATGAGCAACCCTTTTGGCTTATTAGTAATGATTATGTATTTGTTTTTATTTGTCTGTTCCTTATTAATGGTTTATCGGTTGAATGTTAGATGTTAAAAATATACTAAATAATACAATTAGACAAACAAAGTATCTTAAGCATTTCTAGGTGTGAGGTATAGTATAGTGACTGTATCAATGTAGTACATATTATGGTACATTGTAGTGGAAAAACTGCAGTATAATATTCCATGCCATTATCCAGAATAAGAAAGGTCATCTAAGAAATATAATGAGTATTAGATCGGATGAAATGTTAAATGATGTAAAAATAAATGTAGTTGGTTTTACGCATCAAACCCAATCAAAAAATATATAAAGAATTACAACTTAATGATATGATATGCAATTTTAAAATGTTCTAGTTTGTGATGAGCCATACAGGACCCGGGGTGTCTTTATCATTATTCTGTGAATATGTTAATATGATTTTCATGAATGAATAAAAAAAAAAACTGAAAATAGAAGGAACACACGAACGAACGCAAAAAGAGTATAAGAACAAAAAAAGAACAAACCCTCACATGGACGCACGCACGAATAAATCCACGAACGAACAAATGAACGTACCGACGCACGAATGATCGGATGAACGCTTGGATCGACTACCAGACGAACGCACGCATGAACGGACGGTCGAACGAACGCACACATGGACAGTTCGACTAACACATGAACGGAAGATCGGACAAATGCACGCACCCACGAACGAACAAACAGTCAGACGAATGCACGCATGAACGAAACTATTTCGAACGAACGCACGCACAAATGCTTCGTGATTGGCACGTTCGTGTACGTTCATATAAAGAAACTCAATATCTTCATGAAATAATAATGAATCTTTCCTCGCGATCGAAGCGGGACCTTCTCATGTTTTCAGCGGGGCCTCCTAATTTTTTCAGCGGGGCCACTGGAACACCTTTAATTATGTATTTCGACGCCCCCCTCTCACTGGCATGTACAGTAACTTATTAATACAGACTATGTTGATCCAATATGTATTATGGAGTATGTAAATCGTATGTATTGCCTTTGTTTTAACGATAAAAGTAATATATGAACAGTAAATTATGAAAACTTGTATGTTTACGCCCTTTTCTTCCATGCCAGTAAAAAGGAATAATTTTTCATGTCAATACGTGTCAAATATATCTGTTTTCAAAGTTTTGCTGGAGTTATATGTATATTCATCCTTTTGGCATTTGGTCCATTTGGTTTCCAAAGTGATACAAATAAACAGGTCTATGCTCGTGATTTCAGCGGGAATTTGCTCGCGACTTTTATAGCGGGGCTTACGATGATACTCGTGATTTTTGTCGTCCTTTATATTTGATAATCTTTCATTGGGAAATGATTTGCAAATTTGGCGACTTTCACGTCACCATGGGCGATATTTTCCGCTTACACTGGCAACATGAAAATATACTGGCCAATGGGCTCGACGCCAAGCTATTCTGGCACAATTTCTAAAACCGGTTGAGGAAGGAAATTTTATAAGTCGCTATCACAGACGACCGGAGTGCTCTCTCATTCGAGATTTACAACAGTACAAGGTAAGTGTGAACTCTAGAACTTGAAAACATTGGTTGAGCCAGGCCACAGGAAAAGGGGTCTTATCACAGATTTATTCAATATTCTGATTTTTTGTTTATCTTATAAAGCACAAAGAGATCTTTCAAATGAGCCATGGCTTTTGTCTATACAATCTTTTCTTGCAGATATAGACCAACAAGTCGGATTTGAATTTAGCACATTTTCCTCTTAATCTTGGGCACATTTTTGGCTCTGTAGCACAATTTTCATTTTTGTGATAAGTCCGGTTTTCCTATGGCCAGGTTCAATTTATGACTGAATATTATATACAAGTATTATGACTCTTAATTTTTCCGAGATTTTTTTAACATATCAGCAGTCATCGAGGAATCAAGGTCTTTGAAAATGGGCAAAGTATAAAAATATTAACAAATAGTTGATTGAATCATATGATGTATGAAGAGGACTACCTGTTAAAAAATCACTTCCATATAAAAAATTTATTTTAATCAAATCAGTAGTCAAATTAATTATATGCATGTATAACGGGGTATAAATTGATTGTTTATTGTCAAGAAAATTGATGTACAGGGTAGGGCCTATAAAAACTGGTTCATTTATGTATTCAATTGTCTTTATTTTTGAGTGTATAATCCACAAAAATTCAGATAATGATAAAATGATTATATTCTTCTAAATAAACCAAAAATGTGTTTTTATCTATAATCTGTATGTAAATGTCGGGGACTAAGGACGTGGGTGGCATGTAAAGAATAAACAAATTCCAAAGATAAAATATGCTAAAATCTAAATCAACTAAATAGTCCATAGTATGAAATCTCTAGGACGTCTACATACCTACATATGCTCCCTAATAACTTTCATAATAATCGTTAAATATACTTCCGGCTTTTAGGCTTATGCCTGTCATTAGCAGAGGTCAAAAACTTACCAAAAACTAAAATCCATTTTTCAGAATTTGGAGTACGCTCATCAATACAAAACTTATGTAACCAGTGCATCGGCGTTTTGTATTGTTTCTCAAACATTAATGAGATAAATGGTTCAAATAAATTATTTTTAGATTAAAATGACAAAAGCTTAAATTATGCTAGTTTTTCACAAAATGGGTCTCAATATGTTTTGGTATATGGGCTGTTATTTCGCAGTTAACATTGTCAATAAAGGAGGGCCTATTGTTCTTCTTTGACTAATTGCGACTACAGCTAAAATTATATTTCTCATATTTAGATATTGTTCAGTTGCTTATAAAACAACCATCAAGACTTGGTCGAATTCATGAATCATTGAGAAAAATCTTTATCATTATCTTCTTCAAAATCTGATGATATCCAACAGGAAGGTCAAAGAAGAAATAACCATCAGAAAATCTGATAATAGCCAGCAGTAATGTCGAGGAAGAATTGTAAGGCATTCGATGGCATATAACTTATAGATTATTAGACATGTCATTCGAATATATGACCATTCCAATCCCTCCGTGACATTGAATTAAGAAATATAGACCGAAGAGCATGAGAAATAATTTCAAATAGCAGGGCTAGCCACAAACATTTTTCGTATAACATGACTGTATTCACGCCTTCTCTAAACTGTAAACAAAGTCAGCATTTCACCCGGGGTATATTCGCAAAGAATACCCCTGGTAATACGTGTAATGTGCGACGTCATAACGGCGGGTTGTAGTTATGGCGGACCATAATGAATATTCGAAACATTGTTAGGGCTTAGGGCTAGGCACCGAAACGCTTTCGAACCCTTTTCACCCCTTCGGTCGTTCGAGGTACGGAAAATGTTCATACGTACTATTATGAACATAGCATCTGTACTACAAGTAACAACTTACTAGTATCAGGGATTTTAAGCTTGCATATAAAATCGAAACGCTAACCTATACCAGTTTTATATGTCTCTACCTATACGTATGACCAATCGCCTATGACAAATGCATCGCTTAAATATTTCCATTCACATTTAGGTTGTGAAAATTATTGCAAGCTTAAAATCTCTATTGCCATAAAATGATTTACACTGATCAAACCAATGAAGTAAAACCGGGTATTTCAATACCTGTTACTTTCAGATGCAGTCAGGTTTCGTACTTTACCTTGGGCTTGCAGCCATGCTCCTTTGCAGTGCCCTTACTGAAGCAAGATATACAGGAGAAAGATCCGCTCTAAGAGATTTATTATTGGCAGGACTCATGACCGGGTGAGGTTTTAATTAAAGCAGGGAAATAACTTGTAAAAGTTTGATTATCGTTAATAGATTTTTGTGATAATGGGTACTTAACTGTGATCTAGGATCATCCTAGACTTAGTTCAACAAGTAAAACCTAGTTTGGGCCTTATTTCTTATCTGACATATCTTGTGGTCCTAGACTGTGATAGAAGATGGAAATACACTTTTGAAAGTACACTGTACTTTTCAATAATTTTGCACATATTTAGCCTATTAAAACTTTGAATCGAAACGTACCCCTGTAGATGAGAAGGTGGTGCAGCAAAAAGGGATACAGGTACATGCATATAGCAAAAGGTATGCATGTTACTCAGGCCCGTAGCCAGGGGGGTTCGCAGTGTTCGGGCAACCCTGGCCAAAGATTACTTCAAAATTATGCAGTTTTTCACCATTTTGAGCACTTCTCAAGTGATTTTAGCCAAAATTGTCAAATGTGACCCCCCCCCTTGGAAAATTTTGAAAACTGCCCCCCCCCCCCCCCTCGGCAAGTCCTGGATACGGGGCTGTTGCATTGGATACATTTATATTGAACGTGTACATACATATCACTGCATGGGGTACATGCATGTTGCATAGACCTAGGGTAAATATATATTGCAAGTATTACATGCATGTTGCACTTGATACATATATTGCAAATAGAACATGCATATTGCATAGGGTATATATACATGTTGCATTGGGTAAATATATTGTCAATGATCACTGGATACATATATTGCAAATAGAACATGCATATTGCATAGGGTATATACATGTTGCATTGGGTAAATATATTGTCAATGATCACTGGATACATATATTGCAAATAGAACATGCATATTGCATAGGGTATATACATGTTGCATTGGGTAAATATATTGTCAATGATCACTGGATACATATATTGCAAATAGAACATGCATATTGCATAGGGTATATACATGTTGCATTGGGTAAATATATTGTCAATGATCACTGGATACATATATTGCAAATAGAACATGCATATTGCATAGGGTATATACATGTTGCATTGGGTAAATATATTGTCAATGATCACTGGATACATATATTGCAAATGGTACATGCATATTGTAGTAATGGTACATGCATATAATAGTACATGTCAAAGGTATCAATGGATTGATGGTCATATAAAATGATGAGGACCAATGACCACTACATGTAAATCTAACTCTCTGCAACTACACGTCTATTTATTAGATAACTTTCATTCCAGTGAGAAAAGAGACCTTCCATCCCCGCCAAGTGATGCAGAGGATACAAATTTGATAGAAGTGTAAGTGACCTTGTGTATTGATGTTTCTAGGGGGAAAGGAATACCACTTTCTTCAAATTTAGACTCAAATAAACCCCAATGTTCTGCCACTTTTAAAGTGGCCGATGATGTATAAAAACGCGCATGCGTCATGGCTCTGCTAAACTATAAAAGGTGAATTCCCAGGCCCTCTCGTCATAGGTGTGTCCGATTGTTGACGAAGCAACGCGTACACCGTGCGTTGATAATAATTAAAGTGGTTAAGCTACACGTATTTAACAAAACTAGAACGTGAACTTCAATGCGCGCGCAGATGAATGACGTCAGATTTGTTTATTTCCTGGGGGCCAGCCTGAAGTTTACAGGTTTTTACATGAGATTATCATATTTGTGCAATTTACAGACGCAGGTTTTTCCGTGTAGATGAGTGATTACACGTCGCTCATTACGTGATCGATTTTAGCTATGTTCTAGGATGGCCCGGGAGCCCATATTTGATACAGACTATCTTGCTTGTTATATTGGTAAACCCCAATCCTTAAGTGGAAATAAGAATACATTTTAATGGGTAAATGACAACTTCAAATGTGATCGTTTGTTCATTCCGTACAATATAAATAGCCAGGGCAAATTAGATACCCGGGGCTTAGTACATTCATTTGTGAATAGCTTTAAGGTAGAAAATATTTTGCAATGTGTGAAAAGAATTTGAGCCCAATGCTCAATACATTGTGGAATGACCATTCCCTATATGGCGTTGTTTCCTAAAATTAACAATCGATGCTGCGCGTCTCGTGCAAATTTTGGAAAGCAACGCCTTCAGCGAATGGTCATTCCACATTGCATTGTGTCCAGGGCTCAAATCCTTATTAAGCAGTTTAAATGCGTTTTATAACCTTTTTGGCTCCCGACGAGTTAATTTTCAATTTTGGCATTGAAAATAAGTCCAACAGAGTCACACTACTATACCTTGCATTTGGTGTTCATGAGCAACCCATTTGGCTTATTAGTAATAATTATGTATTTGTTTTTATTTGTCTGTTCCTTATGAATGGTTTATCGGTTGAAAATTAGATGCCAGTAAGGCACTTTCAAAAATATATTAAACAATTCAATTAGACAAACAAAGTATCTTATGCATTTCTAGGTGTTAGGCATAGTAGTGTGAGAGTACGAAAATGGCAAATGTTAAGATGCCATTGAAAGTGCATTTTTTAAGAGGTGGCATCATTAATATGAGATTGACCAAAACCTTGAAATGACAAGTGGAAGAATCAAAATCAAAATTTGAAACATCCATTTTCTAGTCGAATGAGAGTTTAAGCATGGCATATAAAATCGAAACGACAACCTACGTTTAAATCGCTCATATAAATTTGTGAATAGCTTTAAGGATTTAAGCCATGGACTCGGTGCATCGTTTGCTGCATTATATATCATGAAGTGTTGTTTCCAAATCTTTGCATGACCGCGCAGGGGGGTGCAAAGTTTAGGGAACCACGCCTGGGTTGAATAAGCAGCAACAGCTTATATCCCTTTCACACATTGCAAATATGTTTCTTACGAAATCACCCTAAAGATTAAAGAACATATTTTCAATGAAACTTTTTGCAAGGGTCAAGTATTGGCACAGCATGAATTGCAATCTCTTCACCTTGACAACCATACATAACAATTGCTTATTGATAATTTCATGCACTGCTGTCATGTAAAAATACTTTGTGCCGATTGGCTAGAATCGGACACACCTTGCCTTGCGTCTATGTTTATGCTCAGACTACACTACAGCATGTAATATGCCATGATTTAGTTATATATAGCTGTATAGCAGATTTTCTGATACATATTTTAAAAATCTAATTTTCCAGGGAAAATTGCCGGTCATTAATTGCATTATTGACCGCCACTATGACGTCATACATTACTTAGGTCGATATAGTAAAACTAGCACTAAAGCCCTTAGAACTGGCCCGGCAAGGTGGTAATAATATAATAATATTCTCGTTGACACCAACGTGAAATTATATCCCCTTCCAAACACGAAACACTGAACGCAGGTGTCTGAAGTAGACTAAAGCTGCCTTTGAAGTGCATACAAAGCTATACGGACTCTATACATTTCCTATATTGATCCGTGTACTTTCCGTTCACGTATAGGTTTAGAAAAACAGCGCACGCTTAAACTCTCTATTGTGTGACATCTGTTATGCAGTAAACACGATACAAAAATATGTCATATTCCGCAACGAATATGGCATATTTACTTGCGGTGTATGACAGATTCACCTGCGGTATATGGCATACACACTAACCAATGAGAACGTGATGCGGAAGTACGCAATTGTCAATTGCATCGATTGAACGAACACGTAAAACGTTATAGATTATTATAATGAATATTGAATCAACAGTACTGTGTATCGAATATATTAACTTAGCAGAAGTATCAGTCACCAATCTCGCGTAATAAACTTACTCAATCAATCCAGGATTCATATATTAGTGCTCGACGCACTAACTATATTGGTAATCCAGCGTATAGTTTTACATTTAGAGTCGATTCTCGCAACCAATCAAATCAACGCTTTCTGTATCACGTTTTCACCTGCAGTATATGTCATATTCACCTGCGGTATATGGCATATTCCGCAAGTGAGTATGACATATTCCGCATGTGAGTATCGGGTATTCACTGAAATCAATGTATCGCATATTCACTGCGGAATATCGCATACTCACCTGCGGAATATGCCATATACCGCAGGTGAGTATGGCATATTCACCTGTATCACAAATACCGCGCAACCATGAATGTATGCCATATACCGCGTAACAACATCAACGAGTCACATACTTCAACACAAAAAACCAATGCTGTATATTACTGCTCGAATGATAAGCGGTTCCAAGAGATCTCGCAGAGTTCTACTATAATCACTTTACTATACCTAACCCCTAGATACGCATAAGATACTCTTTTTGTCTAATTGCATTGTTTAGTATATTTTTGAAAGTACCTTGAATTAACATCTAACAGTCATCCAATAAACCATCAATAAGGATCAAACAAGTAAAAAGCAAATGACATAATCATTACTAATAACCCAAATGGGTTGCTCATGAACACCAAATGCAAGGTATAGTAGAGCGATGATGTTCTTTTTTTTATTTTCAGACTTTCTGACATGGTTAAAAAGAGAAGGATGAATTGTATCGATCGGTGTAAAAAACAAGCTGCCTTTGAATTTAGTCATTACTATGATGATTATACTAAATGTCTTATTGAGACATGTTCATCTTAAAATATTAACAGCCAATGGAGACCTGGATGTGAAAGAGATAACAATTATAGCCGATTTTCAAAATTGACAATAACAAGAATTATATTTTAAATGCGCTATATTTGATGAAAATGAATTAATGTTCCTTTACTTTAAACTGATGAAAATGTAGATGTTTGATTGACAAAATAAATATACTATCACAAATAAAAACTGTTTTACTGGTTAAAAATCTCAGCTGGTGAATTTATGGATTAGGAAGTATTTTAAGTAAACCGGGGTAAAAGTTGATATGGTACCATGGGGATTGAGGTCCGTGGTGCACCCCAGGTACCTAGACGATGAGGACTTACTCGTACCATATTTCAAGGCTATAGTTGGACCAAAAACACCTGGGAAGATGGTCCTAAAATTCAATCCATGGCCTTGTGATACCACTGATTGGCTCATCCCCGGGGATATCTTATTAAAAGATATACATATCGATTTTGGGAATTTGTGATGTGCCAGTTGTGAAAATCGAATTTTGTGTTACTGACAAATTATATGACGAACACAATACAATCATATGAAAAAATTAACTATAAACTAGAACAATTTTAACGACGAAAATTAGCAATTTAGGTTCTGCTCTCGTGTAATGGTTCTTGAATGATTCAATGGCGACCATACCGTTGTGAAATGACATCGTGTGACAACGTAGATCAAACAAGGCCTTTTGGACTTATAATTGCCGTACTTCGACCTTCGTAGGGACGCGTTAACGACCTTGTGCTATCGAATATCCATTGCATTACGTGTACACACCGACATGGAGCGACCTGGACGAACTGCGAATAAAATGGACGTATTTAGACTGTTTTATGAACGAATTTAGCTAATTGTTTTAGACAGATTTTCAATGTTCAGATTTTTGTTTAAATCAAAAAACATAATGCAGTATCACATGGAAAAATACATTCATATTTTACACGCAAAACGTTTGTATATTTCAGATATATTTGTTAATGTGCAATAAATCTGTTGCCTCTTATAATATAGAAAGTTTCTCCAATGTTATCTCTTGAAAATTACATGTTAGAGAAACATCAGAATTCAAAAAAACGTACGGTTTATTAGGCAAATGACAACCTTTTCAAGCTATACTAGCGTTTTGCGTAAAAATATGAATGTACTTTTCCGTAGGCTATTATATTGTTTTTTAGTTTTTTAGGCGTGACCCAAAAGTGGACGGTTATGAGCATGGGCCTCGTATTTTAGAACATTTCACCCCAACCAGATACATTTTTATGATTTATATGACGAGTCTGTGAACTAATTTGATGTGACTGGGGTTGTACAAATGTATACTATGGGATCCCATGATCTCAAGTCAAGCGATCCCCTAATGAGTTTGAAACGACCCATTGGTATGAGTTTAAAAATCTGATTAACTTAGAATGTAGTTAGAAGCCTAAAACGTTTATTCATCAAAATCCAAGTTTTTTTTACAAAACAAATCTTCTCACGTCTTTTCTAAGTTCATTAGTGCACTCTTTGTGCAAAACTGAAAGATGTAGACAATGGGGAAGGAGTGATTCCTAATATATAAATATCACACCTAATGGGCGTATAATGTAGAGCTGTGTAATAAATGATGATGTAATCAAGCGTTTCATAAGTTATACCATAGGCCTTCAACAGACTCTTGAAAGCCCATGATTATACATTATACGGGAATAATAAACACAAACATACTATAAGTAATTTGTGAGTTATTTTACAATTATGTCTTTCGGAGTATGTGTCAATTTACACATAAAGATTATTTGTCAATTCACACTTCAGGAATAATTGATAAATTACACTACAGGATTTGTCATTTTACACTTCAGAAATAATTGATAAATTACACTACAGGATTTGTCATCTTACACTTCAGGAACAATTGATAAATTACACTACAAGGTTTAATTTGCCAATTCGCACTTCAGGAATACCTGATAAATTACACTACAGGATTTGTCAATTTACACTTCCGGAATAATTGATAAATTACACTACAGGATTAGCCAATTCATACTTCAGGAATAATTGATAAAAAATGTCAAGTCACATATCCAGAATATTAATTTATAAATTACACTACAGGATTTGCCAATTCACACTTCAGGAATAAGTGATTTACACTACAGGATTTTTCATTTTACACTCCAGGAATAATTGATAAATTACAATACCGAATTTTTCAATTCACACATATCCGGAATGATTTATAAATTACACTACAGGATTTGCCAATTCACACTTCAGGAATAATTGATAAATTACACTTCAGGATTTGTCATCCACACTTCAGGAATAATTGATAAATTACACTACAGGATTTGTCATCTTACACTTCAGGAATGATTGATAAATTACACTACAGGATTTGTAATCTTACACTTCAGGAATGATTGATAAATTACACTACAGGATTTGCCAATTCACACTTCAGGAATAATTGATAAATTACACTACAGTATTTGTCATTTTACACTTCAGGAATAATTGATAAATTACACTTCAGGATTTGCTAATTCACACTTCAGGAATAATTGATAAATTACACTACGGGATTTGTCATCTTACGCTTCAGGAATGATTTATAAATCACACTACAGGATTTGCTAATTTACACTTCAGAAATAATTCATAAATTACAAGTTGTACACTACAGGAGTTGTCATTTTACACTTCAGGAATAATTGATAAATTTCACTTCAGGATTTGCTAATTTACACTTCAGAAATAATTCATAAATTACAAGTTGTACACTACAGGAGTTGTCATTTTACACTTCAGGAATAATTGATAAATTACACTTCAGGATTTGCTAATTCACACTTCAGGAATAATTGATAAATTACACTACGGGATTTGTCATCTTACACTTCAGGAATGATTTATAAATCACACTACATGATTTGCTAATTTACACTTTAGAAATAATTCATAAATTACAAGTTGTACACTACAGGAGTTGTCATTTTACACTTCAGGAATAATTGATAAATTACACTTCAGGATTTGCTAATTCACACTTCAGGAATAATTGATAAATTACACTACAGAATTTGTCATTTTTCACTTAGGGATTTTTTTCAATTTTGACTTAAAAAAGATTTGTCAGTTAACACTTCAGGAATATCAGTTATTCGCACGTCGGGAATTTAATTAGGTCGTCTATTCGGGTGCATCAGTTGAGTGGCCTTTTATCAAAGGGAAACACTTTGTCAATAATTCGAGCTGACGAACTTAGAATCATATGAAGCCATTTTCAAGAAATAAGTATTTACAAATAAAAGCAGTGATACTATTATATACACTTCAGAAATATTTTCCACTTTACACATGTCTATATCTATATAGAATCTTTATCAAATCACGTTTCAGATCTATTTGTCAATCTACATCTCGTGAATATTTGTCAATTTACTCTTCATGAACAGTTATCGATTTTCGTTTCGGGAATATATGTTCATGCACACTTCGTATGAGGATTGACTACTCAGGTATATCAGATACAGCCTGTAGTTCAATCTCACAAATCTGATACACGGATGAGGTCGATACCAGTACTGTTGCAGCATAAAGCGAGTCTCCCTCTTCACTAATTGTACAGGTCCATGTGAACTCCCCCGTACCTGGGTACTCCGGTCCGTCACAGCGTAGCATCTTTGCAGTTGTTACATTGGCTGTCGTGTCACCCGTGCTAAACACGTCAAAATCATCTGCAGCTCCACCATTTGTTGTAATCACCAATTTGAACTGAGTAAGACCAATGGCATTTGTGTAAAACAGCAATCTCGACCCAGACACATACTGAACCTCAAAGGCGCAGACACTTTTGTCCATATCTGTCAGTGTACGGATGAGTTGTCTCTTCTCAGAGGGAAACGTTTCCTGAACAATTGGAGCTGACGAACTTGCAAGGTTTTGTCCTACAACAGGAATTTTTTTATTTATGAGATACGTTTAAATGAGCTCCAGCTTTTGGGTGTTTAGACATCACCATTTAAGTAAATGGGAATAGTATAAAACTATATTGGGAAAGTTCAACTAAACACGTACACATACCGAATGATATTCGATATATAAATACCGTTATCAACATCATTAAAATATATAGAATGTGCCAAAAAATACAACCCAAACAAATGATAATAACTCAGTCACCAAGTATGAGTTTCAATGTTATTCGATTCTACTAAGTTTCATTTGTCTAATTTCAATATGAGATCCTAAAATGATTGAGTATTTTGTTACTCAATTTGTTGGGCGCCGTACAGTCAGTTCCAGTAACTCACTCAACATTCAAAAATAAAAATCTCAAAAATCGTATATCTTTGATTTCCAAAATAATTGTTGAGGGGGTTATTAAGATGTTAATACACATTTTAACATATTAATTTTGAGAACATCTCGAATCCATTCTCAACAAAGCGTTCGCGAGTATAAGTAAGTATTCGAAATGTTTGAATTCGGGATGATAAAAGGACGTTACGATGTACCGCTCCTTAACAATTTCCTTTTGGAACAAGATATAGAATAAAAAGCATATTCCTCTTATTTACACACTGACACATGCCACCGAATGTTACTTAGTAAATATCTCTGTTTTAAATAGTTTTTTGAACGTTGCTCTCTACGGGTGCCATTTTTAATAATTGAACAACAAAACTGAACATCTTGCTTTTCTAAATTGATAAGTTTCTTGGAATACAACATAACTGTTAATGGCTTGAGTCATTAATAATACTTTCCCTAGTGATCCCATGATAAATAGACAGTAACTGGGTCAATGTTTTATGTTCAACCTGGTTTTCATGACTTTCATGATATGACATAAGTTGACAATTATGTAGGAAATTTCAATTCCAAATGTCAGCGTGTAAAACTCGTGTCTTTCACAATATTTAGCCTTTTATCATGAAAGATCGCCAAAAACTGCATGTACCTTTCAAGGAGACGATATGTTTTTAAGAGATGTAAGCTATTTTTGACTCAAAAAGAATTCAAATCACCAACTATTATCTTGATTGCACAAGACGAAACTCCCATTCCGGCGATCACTTTAGTAACCATAAGTATAAGTTAAAATGACACAGACTCACCAGGTTAGATGATAAACCGTTTCGAGGATTGATGATTTGAGTTAGATATTGGATATTTATATAAATGCAAGTTGGCATGTCTAATTTTTCAAAATTCCCTTTCACTTGGAAAGGATTCTGAATTAAAAGAAAATATAGATAAAATATATATATATATAAGCCCTATAGATGAATATCATATAGGAGAATATCATCTCCATCTGCAACCATGGTCATGTGGTAAGAAAGAGTGATATTTATTTATCGAAATTGGCTTATTTTGTAGTTTAGTATTTATATGAAAAACTATTATCAAACATGTATAACCTGTGAAGATTTGAATTTCACTCATCCCTGGTGCTATTTCTAACGCCTCGATATTCACAATTTCCTCGATTGTGAACTTTACAGACTTCACCAAACGAGTGTATGGTAAAGGAAGGGTTGTCCATCGAAAACTTCCACATTCAAATTCATCAAAATACATGAAAACTTGCGAACTGACCTACAAATAGAAAACCTACATGACAACCTGATACAAAAAGAAAACACTATTTTGAGGCTCTATTTGAAGGTCTTTAATAATGTATACATGTACTCTACGCCCTTCTACTGTTGGCCCTTAACTTGTTTTTGGTTTAAAATGGTATAAATAGGTCTGCAAGTGGCAGCAGTGGTTAAGTGGAGAAACGTTGGAAATATGGCACAATAGTTTAGCAACCTCTTCATTTTTCTTTATTCCAAGCATAAAATAATCAGGTGACATTAATGAACCTAAAAGGAACTCAATAGAACGATGCAAATTTAAAGGAAAATTTTTCTCGGGTGTAAGCATTCTTTTATTTTGTAGGTAACACTTGTACGTACTCGGTTAGATATGTTGTTTCGGTGAAATACATTATTTTCACAATGAAAAAAAAACAATTATAAACATATTTTGTCATGTTCCATTTAATATGAAATTAAGAGAGTTGTTAAGGGGTGTGGCCTAATAAATGACGTCATCGACTCTCTTCATAGGTCGTTATCTAATTGGCTGATCAAATGGCTGGTAAGATAACAAAAATAAATATGTCTGCGCATGCGTGGGTGCCTCCCATCATTTGAAATAATTGATTTTGCCTCTTCTTATGCAGTATATCTGTATATTTGTTCGTCTTGCAATCAAAAATATTAATAAAGAGAATAAACATGTTAAATCTTCATTTGCACCGGATCCGGAGATCTGCTACAGATTGACATCCCAATTTTTTTTTTTTTATGCAACTTTGAGGTGTCTCGAAACATAAAACACCTTTGGCTACTACCTCTGGTGCAACTTATAAAAAGGGTTTCTTACTGAAAGTCCCAATTTCAAACTTGACGACGCATCGTACAGTTCGACAAGTACTTTCTTGTGCTGACTGTTCCTTGCACATCTGTTTGCGTATTTGATCACGTGTACCCAATATTCCGCATCTAACGTAATCAAAATCCACTGGTCGACCCACGTGTTGTATTGAAAAGCGAAATTGACAATGAGTGTCCCGTCAACTGCATTAGGTGGATACAAAGCTCCATTGAATTGAGTTGATGACGTCGCAGTCCCAATTAAAGCAGCCTGGTTAGTCAATGGTCCAAAATCTGCAAACAAAGTTCTCAAAGGATTGGTATCGATATGGTGGACTTTTTGAACACAAGTTTCTCTTCAACCAGTGGACAAAAAATTCTAAAAATGTTACACCCCGTCAATCTAATGGTCATCTTTTAAATGGTAACAATATAATTTGAAAAAATATATACTTTTCCTTATATTGTTTTAGAAAACATCGGTCACTTCTTTTGTTCTTGGTATCATATGATCGGAATGAAATGAAACATCTTTCCAAACCTCATTGGAACAAAATGACATAATTAGGTGTCTCAATAATGTAATTGTACAAAGGAAATTTTGGTTGATTTTAAAAATGTATCTTGTTAAAGAAATAAAAGGTTTATCTTTATCTATTTTGGGAGGGGGTTGTTTTAATACCTTCTCTTAAATCAACAGAAATTCCTTGGTATAACTATAATATTGAGAGGTCTGAGAAAATGTTGTGTCTGCTTTTTTGTTCCAACAAGGTTCGGAGAGACATTTTATTTTATTCTCAAAAACAAAAGAATTGTTAACAAAAACAGATATATAAAATATATTTAAATAATTTTCGCATTAAATTGTTGTCAATCAGTCAACATTACACAAAGGACCGTGTTTTTTATAGAATGTTTTCAATAATTGATTTAAGAGAAAAACATTGTTTAATTCAGTCCACCATATCGATACCTATCCTTTCGTCAAATGTAAGTACATATGGCTGCTTATATGTTTGCTTTATTCAGTTACGAGAATTTTAATCAGTATAAAGTTTAGTATTATGTTGCTGGTTGCACAGATATTTGCTTTCTCTATTGACCTATGTTAATTATCTTATAATGTTTATATTATTTCAACCAATATACCTACTATTGGTTATGATTGGTTTTAAAATCTAGGGACACCATGTTTATTTACCTTACATCAATTTTATATTTTATAAGTTACCTGCAATTATGTCGAGTTCCACAATTCCAAATGGCTCTTTTGATTTCACATAAGCTTCAATGAACGTAATCTTTACCCAACTGGCAAGAACGGGTGGGTCAAATCGCACAGACTCCCAGCTATGTTGGTCCGTCGGCTCCATATCGAACATATCCATCTAGTATAGACAATAATTTAAGTAATACAGGTACTATATTTTTATTTTGTATATTTATTTACCTCTAATCACTAGAGAGTTACAATTATAAAGTTACAAATTGAAATAATGAATAAAAATACACATATTTTAAAATAGTGAACAGTGCTACATCCCCAGTTGAAATGAAACCTCAATAGTGACCGATGCCATCTTCCCCAAGGTCGATAGCTCAGGACCAAAATACGAAGTGTCAAAAAGTGTCCGAACGTCCAAATACAAGACAGGATATGCATTCAAACAAGACAATGTAATTTACTTCAAATCATCATAAATACCTTGGTTGTTAACCCGTCGCTGAAATCCATCTTGACTTTGCGAGCTTGCGTCAAGAGGCTCTCGCGATTCTGGATCATGCTGATCTCTTTAACCCAAAATGACCTTGCCAAAGTCACGTTAACCCATGCGCCAACATTTTCTAAAGAATTACAAATGGAGCATAATTGTTCCTTCAAATGGAGTAAGACGGCAGCAAAATATGACAACTGTAAAGTATAGCATGGGGAATATGACAATTGATCATATCGATTTTTAAATCGATTGCGAAATAAACTAAAATGGCCATATTTTTATTTGGTGATAACGTTTCAAAAATGCTCTATTTCACATATATTTATTGCTGGAGATTATGGTGTTTAAACTGCTTCTTTATTCGGTACATTAAATATTCCATAAATACCAAATAAAACAAACAATTTACCAAACCTTTACCAAATCGATCGAATGTTTTTTATTTTATCGAATGTAATAATCTATACAATTTATATTCGCTAAATAGTTTCACTTGTTCTTTGTGTTGGCATTCACATTTTGATATTTATAGACAGTGTACATGTATTTGTGTGATGCAGCGAATCTGTTTGTTTTCCTTAACGCACGTATAATTCAATTAATTATTTGTACATTTGGTATTTCAATTATTTATATTCGGTAAATACCGAATGCCACATTCGATAAATTTCGTTATTCTTCGATACTTTACGAGACTTTCAGTCACGTGATATATTTGAACGATGTAGAATAGCTGCGCGGCCATTTTGCAAATCTCGAGGTCACGTGACAAAATATCGAACAACAACGAAAGTTATCGAATATTACTTTATTGCATTCGGTAAATAGCAAATTAGTTTTCGGTAAAATGCATTAACTATGTCATAGAAAAATAAACCATTCGGTAAATATAGGCAAACTTATTTTGGTAGGGTTCAAATAGAAATTCCATATTGTGCATATAATGTGTTACTCTTAAAGACATGTTAATGAGACTTCTCCGTGGCATTTTTTCTTTATTCCTTTTTGTTTTGATTTTTTTACACCATAACATTAACTAACTACTCAATATGCAACTTTTCACCACGTAGAATTTTAAAATATTAAGTTTGAAAATTCCATTTTTATAATGGAGCTCAATGGGAAAAATGACATAATTTGGATTATTTTCAAACGTAGCGGCGCGATTTTCTTGAAATTGACAGATATAATAAATATTGGTAAGACAAAATGTTTGAAGAAAAATGAAGAAAATTCACCGTCCTGGTTACGCAAAATATAGAAAAACGTGAAATAATCATAAAAACCTGTAAAAATAGATTGAAGGGGGTGATATTCATTTTAATGTGCCTTTCACTACTACAGGGTAACCATAGTTTTGGTAATGGTTTACTAATTCTAAAAGCATATCTTCAAGCATGTGTATCAAGCGGAAGTAATACAATAAGTGAGTTATCATTAATTGGAATGGTATTATTATATTCCTTAGCAATGATGACAAAAAGGTAAAATCAATCATATCACATACTAGTTCTTACCATCAAATCGATCTGTTATAATGCATATTAAACAATATAGCAGTAGATCTTCAAATTCAAGAATTGAGCTAAATTGTAAGATAAAAGATAAATTGCTAATCTCTCTGTCACTATAATCCCTTTCTCTGAATCATACTAAATTATAATATTTCGGTATGCTTATTTTAGCTGCTGTAGTTTAGGTCACTTGATGAGATATTCAGTAACATGCTGTCACTAGAGACAAAACTTGACACTAAATAATCACCCGAAATAAACGATATGAATTCTTCATATTTTCTTCTTTTGTAATACATGCATTCTTAAATTAGCATTCAAAGATTTTCAACACAATCATGAATTTAATGATCTGACCCTTAAAAAACTTTTCAGGGGGAATATTTTGTCCACCTGCAGCCCTTAGGTGTATCATCTTTTTCTAGCCATATTTTCCTAGGCCTGCTGGAATACCTATTTCAGTGTGCAAGTTTAGCATTGTTTTCCCATTGATCATTTGAGTTCTCGTGTCAATAAATGGAAATAAAAATGATAGAGTAGTTTATTTACGTTTATACGTTTCTGGCGAAAGCTGAAGCATAGATTATCTAAGAGGACTGGAAACAAGATGGCAGTCTATTTCAATTCGGCCAATTCGTGTTGGCCTATATATCACTATTGACTCAATTGTTCATCTAGTTTTACTTACCTTAGATGCTTAGTAATCTATTTAGTATAATATTGTTTCCAAAATTATTGTCATTTGCGAAAATTAGTACTAAAAGTACTTTGAACAGGTCAGCTGCCATTTGCTTGGCTGATCGTACCAGTCCACAAAAACAGTGAAATCATATTAAAAATACCAATAAAACTTTAAAATTGAGGCAGATGCGATACAAAAAGACTCTATTCAATACAGATATACAGGTTACAGTCACCAAGATGAGCTAATTTCAGGCGAGATTCGGGAAATAAAAAGGTAGGTCATTCTTGTTTCCAGTCCTCCAAATAATCTATTATGCTCCGGCTTTCGCCAAACTTACTTGACGTCCGTGGTAAAAATCAAAAATAAAACAAGGTTTGGTCAGGAAGGGAACAGGTGAAATCCTTGGGATATATGAATTAATTAATTACAAGTTAGAAACATATTCATGTTTCTACAATTTAGGGTAACCCTGTCTATTATTCTACTATGCATTGTTATACCCCGTGCAAAATATTAAAAAATGTTATTTACTTATTATCATAATTCAATGTGACAATATCAGTCTTATCTTCATATATAATAGTTTGCCTGTAAGGTTGGGCAAGCCGTCTATTACGTTGATAGTATAAGATGTTGATTTTGCAAAGCTCTTATGGGCTAATTCTACAATATGTACAGTAACATATATGTAAGGGTGCAAGTATGTAGTCCAGTATGTAGTAACCAAAGGAGTATTTTGGTCAACTCATTACATCTGATAAACACTCCATGAAGTGTTTTCTATGCAATGATTATATACAGGCTGCTTATTCATTGTTACTGCGAATTTCAAAAGCTTCCAAATTGTGTGGAATAGAGCATGCAATGTTTTTCAGTTTGAATCGGGTTTTAGTACATTCTGACCAATTGTATTTTCAGACTTATTCATTTCATGATTATGTAATACTGACCTACTTATCTGCTTAACATGTCTTTAAGGAATACCTTAACAATTTACGCAGAAAACATATCATTTAGCGAATGAAATATGTAATTTAATGCACATAGTATTAAGTGATTGGCTATTTTGAAAACTTGATTTGCTGTAACAAACATATAAACGTTTTTACCGAATGGAAAATGATATAGCGAATATTAATATTTCATATATCGAATATATTTGAATTTAATGAATAAAGAAGCAAAAATAATGCCATAGGAGATGTAGGAAATGCTTTTTATTCGTATATGTCATAAATAAGTTTTTGAGGATTTATTAGTAAGGAAGGTTAAAAAACACTAAAGGGATGAATACATATTTACACCTAATATGACATCAGAATTGGTGAGAGATCTGTAACAAATGGCATGTGGTGATATTTTGAATATATTTAATGCCTTGTACAGCGTTGTGTTGTCATGTCTCAATAGCACTAATAATAGGCAATCAATATAATCACTAGATCGACATGTTAAATATTTCCTTATATAGTCACACTACTATACCTAACACCTAGAAATGCATAAGATACTTTGTTTGTCTAATTGAATTGTTTAATTTATTTTTGAAAGTGCCTTACTAGCATCTAATTTTCAACCGATAAACCATTCATAAGGAACAGACAAATAAAAACAAATACATAATCATTACTAATAAGCCAAATGGGTTGCTCATGAACACCAAATGCAAGGTATAGTAGTGTGATAGTTGCTAATGCCCTGGTCACATTTGCACCGATTTTCACAACGGCGCCCGGCCGATTGAGTATTTTGTTCAAAATTGAAAACAATATTGAACAAAACACTCAATCGGGCGGGCGCGGGCCGATGGATTAGAGCCTTGAAATGTGACCAGGACATAAGTTGTACATAACCACATAACAATAAGCTATTTAGTACCTATTTCGCACCCGATGACGTCAAATCTCAGACAGGGGGCAGTACCATACTTGGTTTGAGGATTTATCTGGACGTATCTGGCATTTACAGGTGGATCAAGCATATTTTGAACCTTCGTATCTCTATCGCTATTGCCTTGTAGAACCTAAAAAACACAGCGTTTTAAACACTGTAGTACTCTTGGTAATGGGATTCGAATCAATAATAAGCCCCTGTTATAATATTTATGCCAATAGGTAAAGTCACTTTGCAACAGTCAGTGGCAGTGGAAAATAAGGCCCTGGTGCAAAATTGATTTTTCTGCAAGTATCGTCTTGACTCTTGATAGGGTGGCATATGTAACATTAGAGAATTTTCGTTATAAGTTTTTTAAAAACTTATACGTATACTTATACTTATAAACCCAATAAACAAGGTGTTTCATAATTTCCTAATTCGTCGGGAAATATCTCCTAGGACGGTAATAAAAAGGGCCAATGGCATACCATCCGTACCCCCTTGATGTAAAGCATGTTTAGTTGTGTCATATGTGTTTTCTAGAATCAAATAGGCTGATATAGCACACGGGTTTTACAGATTTATCTACTCTCAAATATATTTTTTGTAGATGATCGTTTTGAATCACCTTGTAGAAATAACGAAGGGAGAATTAGTTCAGCTAATGAATGAGTCGAGCTGTTTGATTGGATACTATGCCTATTCAGCCGATTAATTTTAATAAGCCATTCTGGTCAGTAGGTCCACACATATACTATGCGGAGATCCAACTCTGTAAGTTTATAATCTGCGTATAAAGGCCCTTTTATACGTAAAAACTTAAAAATTGACCTTATAATTTCATGAGAACTTTGAAATGATCGACTCGTTCGTGTAGTGATTCACTTTAAAGGGTCTTGTTTATCGTACACTACAAGGACCCGTCAACTAGCGTTTAGTTTATCGTGTTCATAATTGACACTAGCAAAGGACATTGTATTCGCAGTCCCTAGTTAATGATCGGGCTTGACTATATCGGGAATAGTTATGCCCCACTTGGTACAGATTATGAAAATCAATTTGAATTGATTTTAGTTCGACAAAACCCTTTAAACTATAAGTATACGTATACGTTTTTGAAACAACTTATAACGAAAATTCTCTATTGTCTCATGGGCATTTTATCAAGGTTTTGGCACACACGCATAACCCAAAGGTCATTCAATTGCGCAAAAAGCATTCTTATGCACCAACCATTCCATATTCTTGTAGGCTGCCTTCGTCTTTACCATATAAAAACTTGTATGATGTTACCCACTGGCTATACCCATTTCTTCCTTGGGTTATGATCCCTGTTATAAACATTACTTGACCAAGATCTGCCCGTATCCAAATGTTAGTGTGCGGTTCGGCAGAGGCCCAGCCTCCACACAAACCAGCTGCCCTAAAAGAAAATTAAAAATTAGGTCTCAGTACACAAATATATCTCCCCGCTTTTTGGTGGAGACAAAAGTCAACATTTCAAAAGAAGAAAATAGCTATAGGTAGCTAAAGTTGCTGCTATATTGAGTGAAAGAAACTTGAATATCTGGCGGGAAAAACTGGTTATCAAAGCACATTTTGATCTTTAGAGATCTTATTCCATACGCCCCGTGGGATGTCTTTTTCATGTATTGTATGAAACATTGTATGATTGATTTTTAATTAAATAAATTGAATTGAATTGAAAAAAAAATTCACCGGAAATTTGATCTGAATTCACATTCGGAATTCTGAGGAAATGAAAGCCATTTATTTGTTATTCAACTTGTTGAATTTGGATATGATTTTTTCTAAAACTACTTTTTGGACATGATTTTCCGAAACTGGGTTTAAAGATACTTTATGAGGGCCAAAGGCAGAGAAAAATGTTTTCTGTTTTGGTCGAGGTTTAGGACCAATAGCCCTATGCATGTTGTGTGAAAATGTAAATTATTTCGCTCATGGTCATACATGCAATGCACCAAATAAATGGTCAAAAGATGCCTCGTCTGGCAAAAGCAATAGACACCAGATTGGAGCCTATTAATGATAATGTAGCTTACGCCTTCGTATCTAGTCTCGAACGCTGTGCTCCGAATGCAACTAGATCATTATTCCAAACGCTGGAGGCAGTTATTGCCGAATCTGGGACGTTGTAAACATCTCCAGACACGAGCCGGTCAACACAAAATCCTAAATTGAAATTAAACAAAGGTAAGTATATTTATGTTTTATTGGTATTTGACGCAACGTGTTATTGAATACAATTCTTTTTTCATCCTTTTCATCATAAATTAAATCTGATCATAGTTCAAGTTAAGTACTATGTTAATCAAATATTGAATAAAAGTAACATTGGACATACGTGAACGAGATTTGGATTTCCATGGATGTTCTATGTTTTCATTAGTAGACTTACCTGCAATCTCTCCATCTATCGCTCTTTTGCAAGTGGCTGCACTTGTGCTTGATGAGCATTCGATTGAAGCTCCTGATGAAAGCTTTGCAACATCCGCACTGACCCGATTTTCTGTAACAGAAGACACTGGTTGAATGTCGGGTGTCATTTACTCGTAGAACAGTACAAATCAAACCGCATGATACACGGCTAGAACGTACAATAACCTACGTAACTCTAAACTATAGTCAGAGCCTAGCATATATATTATGTCATATAAAGTAAATACATTTATCGTTTGATCTGTAAAACGAAGCCTTCTGATTGGTCTGTTCTTGTGCTGTACCGATCTGTATTGCTACTGAGATTGTCCCCGTTGATCATCTCCGTCGCAATACGTAAAATAATGGTACGGAGGGGACAATCTCAGTAACAATACAGAGGATCACACGATAAAAACGTTATTGAATTATTTGAAGTGCAACACAGGGTAATTCTGCTCTCGATATTCTGTATTTGCACTCGACTTCCTCTCGTTCCAATACGGAATTCCCGAGCAGAATATATCCTGTATTGCACTTAAAATCATTCAATAACTTATAGTACTGAATCCTACATCACGTAAAAAATACAATTTTCTTCTTTATTCCTGTTAATACATTCAAATATACAAAACATAGACTGCCAAAGTTAGAAACACTTGTGGCAATGTCTACCAAGTTTCAGGAAGAATGCAAAAGATTTCATGAAATGAGAGCAAAAATTTCTAGAATTTTGGACAACCCTGCAATCGACTAGATGCGAGTAGAAAGTCAAAGTGATATCATATTTGAATTCTGCATGTAAAATGACATCTAGAAATGTGGTTTTAAAAAGTGTTTATCAACTTTGAAGATTTAATTGTTTTGAAAATGTGATTTCCTGGTCGGGGAGATTCCCCATAGGCTCCATGTTATAAAAACAAAAAAAGTGAAATATCTTTTTCTGTATTTGACAGGATATATTTTCTTTTACTGGGCACATTTTAATTTCCATAACTATCAAATACACAAGGGTAATATAAAAATTGAACAACTAAAACTGATGAATATTCAAGTTTAGCCCTACGGAAACTTTCTAATACCCTGCCATTTATTTACCCCGAATCGGCCACCTGGTGGTGAAAATGGTAACTACTTACTCGCATCATGGTAATTGTATCATGTATCATGTATTACCTTCCATTCTGAATCCAGTGTCGTACACGTTGTTCCTATAAGCCCCTCCACATGTTTGGGTGTTACCCTCAGCCTCGCACGTCATGTCACATTCCGATTTGTCCACCATTCCATGTCTACCATATGAATTTCCGCAAAAGCAAGTATATGCATTCTGGTTTCCTAAAAATGAACTTATTCTTAAACTTACACGATTCATTGTGATGTATACCTATAGTAGGTTTAATTATGAATAAATTAATCTAAACTTGAACGTGGATTTGTTGAATAAATTGTCTATTTTCATAATTTTAAGAATATCTAGATCTCTTGCGCGAGAACATAATCAGGGACGTTATGTTTTTTTGCTTTATCATTGCTTTCTTAACAACTGTAGCGCTGTTCATAATGTCGCCATACTTCGACAGCTACAAGTTGAAAAAATTCATGAGTTGTGATACGCTTACAATTACCTGAGTATTGAAATCCATGCGCCTTGCAAGTTGTGATACAATCCCATCGACTTCTCCGTATAAGATTCGTTCGTCCATTCAAGTCTCTATCTGTAGTATCGGCAAAGCATCCTAGGTACTCTAAAATGTAATTGGTATGATTAACAATATTCTAGATTTTTTGTTAGTATTATTTTTTAGATTGTATTAATTGTGTGGATTTTAAGCTATATACGATTCAAGATTTTATTGTGTGTCGACCAAACGTTTGGCTTCCTAACAAAATTCACAGATGAACTCGGTCCAATATTTCACTATACTGCCTTTCGAAATGACGTTATTGTACTATTATACAACAATGATTGTACCCCAAACGGAATTATACAACAATGATTGTACCCAAAACGGTATTATATAACGACGATTCAGCCCCAAACGGTACAGTATACAACAATGATTGTACCCCAAACGGTATCATACAACAAGGATTATATCCCAAACGGTATTATACAACAATGATTGTAACCAAAACTGTATTATACAACAATGATTGTACCCCAAACGGTATTATACAACAATGATTGTACCCCAAACTGTATTATACAACAATGATTGTACCCCAAACGGAATTATACAACAATGATTGTACCCAAAACGGTATTATATAACGACAATTCAGCCCCAAACGGTACATTATACAACAATGATTGTACCCCAAACGGTATCATACAACAAGGATTATATCCCAAACGGTATTATACAACAATGATTGTAACCAAAACTGTATTATACAACAATGATTCAACCCCAAACGGTATTATACAACAATGATTGTACCCCAAACGGTATTATACAACAATGATTGTACCCCAAACTGTATTATACAACAAGGATTATATCCCAAACGGTATTATACAACAATGATTGTACCCCAAACGGTATTATACAACAATCATTCAACCCCAAACGGTATTATACAACAATGATTGTACCCCAAACATTATTATTAACATGATTAAACAGATTCTTAGTGAAATATTTAAACCACTTTCAAAATATTGATAACGTGTTCATGAAAATCTAATATATCTTAAGAAAAGGCTTACCATGGTCGTTGTAAATGAAACTGTAAACATACGTATTGGTGCATAAAACTACCGCCACAGCAACCTTAAACCACGACATTTTCTGCCAATGATTGAGTTGAGAACTTGTATGGGCACGGTCCTCGTGCTCTCTAGACTGATGGTATTTGTTGTTGGTAACCGACCAACCAATAGAATTACACGGTGTCCCAAAGATTTTTTCACTTACTTTGATGAAGTTAAAATGTTTGATTTGGATCATTTAATGTACGAGGCTCTTGTATAAGAGCAATAAGCCGATGCCACTGGAAGGGTTACGAGTGCAATAATCATTGAGTCCTTGGCACGTTCTCGATTTAAGCACTATCAAAAATAATCAAAATTCAAAACTACTGTTTGGGGTTGTGCGTTACAATCCTTTTCTTAAGTATTCATTAAAATCATCCCATTTCTCAGATGTATTATATGTTAATTCAAAAATCTCGAATTTCCAAATACTTCCCTAATTATTGTGGAATCATAATCTCATTTCCTATACATATTGAGTCAATGAATGAAAAAATTGATGTACTTATATATTAAAAGCAGTGGAAAACTTGTATTCGCGAATGCAATTAACGCCTGTCGGCTACTGGATTAACCTACTATTTATTATCAACTCATTTAAATATCATGAAAGGAATAAGTGACAGGTACTATTAATATTTAAATGAGTTGCCCATAAAGTAGTAGGTTAACCCGATAACAAACAGTCGTTAGTTGCTTTCACGAATACAAGCTAAGATTGTATTCGCAAATGCAACTTTCGGCTATCGGCTATCGGATTAACCTACTATTTTATAAGTAACTCATCTCAATATAAATAGTATACATTTCATTCATGAAATAGAGGGTTAATCCGATAACCGACAACCGAAAGTTGCGTTTCTGAATACAAGCTAAGTGTCAATAAAATATTTGATACTATTTATTCTACTATAATTGTTAAATTTATTAAGATGGCTTTTGTGCGGAGAAGGCAATTCATTTACAACCTGTGATATTGATTTTCGTGTATTAATTTTGTATTCCCTATTGTTAACAGTGGTTAATAAGCCCAAGGAGGGCTGGGTAAAATTATAATTTATTTTTTATATTTTATAATTGAATTGTAAGACTGACCACTATAAATAAATATATAAACTAAACTAAACTAAACTATATCCAAAGAACTTGTGTAAGCTTCTATAGAATTTATTATAGAAATATAAAATATTTTACAAAACTTTTTTTGGCATGGGGAGACGGCTATCTATCGATAAAGAGCTTGCGTAATTGCGTACAAAATAACCGATTACGTAGGGACAAGGTTACGCAATGAAAGCGCATAATCCTAATTATGCAACCTTTTATAATAATTAATCTTTGGGACAATATCTAGAGCACAATACATCATGAAAATTTCATACGTATCACGAAGATTTCATACTAATTCAGAAATCAATTTTAAAGGGCTAAATTTTGTGTCACCCTGTATAGTGTGTATTTGAATATCTATTATAAAATCGTTCGAGTCATTGTGATTATTATAAGTTTGACGTGTAGCAACATTGAGGTGAAGATAAACAAACAATATTATTATTGAAAGGAAAAGTATACATAAATTATTGACGCTGTCAAAACTTTTTATGATAGATATCCGATTTAAAATCGGGAATAAAAGATACATACATTTATCGTATGATCTGTAAAATGAAGCCTTCTGATTGGTTCTTCTCTCGATATACTGTATTGGCACTCGACTTAGTCCCGTTCCAATACAGAATTTCTCGAGCAGAATATATCCTGTATTGCACTTCAAATCATTCAATAACTCAATAATTATCTTTACCTTTGAATTTTTATTTACTTAACCTGTGACGAAAATTGATGATAAATTTGATGAATTTTTGAAAATCGACATTCCAATGTTAACCGATGTGAAATGGTAGGTTTGCCGCAAGTCATATGACAGAATATCCATCCATCCGAGTCCTTGCAAAAAATAAAAGTTAGGCAGGCAAATGAATTTGCTAACTTTATTTAACTAAAAATTGATATGTTTCTTCAGGTTCAACAAAGTTATAGGGCTTTAAACTCAAAATTGTTTTTCCTACCATTAAAATAATACAGGAGACGAAAAATTATTTTCAAAAATGACTTTGAAGCGCTGTAAGTTGAGTATTCATCAAATAAACTAAACACTTAGTGTACAAAAAAGTTGGACAATTCAATTTTCTATGTAAAAATATTTTTGCTGAATCTTTTATTAAAAAGATATCCTGATTTCTGATTTGCCCCGAACCCTCCATTTCCCATTGGATTACATGGGAATGACGATTTTCAAAAATTCATCAAATTTATCATCAATATTCGACCTATTGTAATTGAGGAAAAAATTGAGAAAATTTGGCGTAAAGAGGCTTTAACACGTAGTTCAATGGGGAGCCGAGGTTGACAAGTACATATGTAATACGTGTAAGTCAAGTAATACAAATCTCTCCTTGAAATATCTGACACTAATATAATATGTACATATTTAATTGTCTATCGAAATGTGAAATAAATAATTTAGTCAATCCGTACACAGCGATTCACCCGACTGTAGCCTATTAACTTTTTATTGCCCAGTCTACGCCGTTTCATGAACGTCAAAAGAATATCTAATTCGATCACTATTGAACGCTTGTTATTGTGTGCATTCATTTCATTGTACACCAACTTTTGTCAAAAAGTATAAGAAGGTCAGTGTGATCTTTGGCATCTTCCTGAATGTTTTAAAAACTTTTTTGAATATTGAAATTTCTGAAAATGAAAACTTACTCTGTATCTCTTAAGTATGTAGGTGTAAGGGCCTGACTTTTCCCTGTATATACTTGTAGATCTGAAGGTCTCACTTCGCTGAACATAGGTCTGCATATCTACAGATGAGGTATATCCAGAACTTGCCAAACTTTGTGACAAAGAATTTCATCCTGCTTGCAGCGAGAAGACGGACCGGTTCGGGGCAATCTGCTTGCAGCGAGAAGACGGACCGGTTCGGGGCAATAGCTGATGAAATTCTTTGTCACAAAGTTTGGCATTTTTTATAAAATCAAACGCGCGTCATTGAAACTCACAAGATGTAAATAGCATGTCATTTACATCATACCTTGATGGGGAAAAATAGATCTTATATGTTAGAAGTACTAAATAAAAGTTATCGTGAAAATGAGACAGTCGTTCTCGAGAGAAAAGAGCATAAATGCGCATTTAGAGAGTTTTGGTCCGTTTAAAAATCTGTAAAAAATTGGGGTACTTAAAAGCATCGGGAGGCATCATATATTTCAAATTAGACACGAGGAAGTCAATATTGAGCAAGTTATGGCTATTTTAAATTCAAATAAAACCGTTAACCCGTACCGGTCAATTTTCGTTAGCTGCGTATACCAAGGGTGTTACTGGTAATGGTTTTTTAATCCAACATGAATTGAAAATGTTATCCGAGCTGTCCGTAATATCTCAAAACATGGGCGTATATTATCTTGATATACGTCCATGCTCAAAACAAACATACTATTGTAAAAAACAACAAAAAATGAACCTTCATGATTGGTCAAAGTGGCATTAATTGATCGGGGGAAGAGGGGGAGAAACCCCAGGGTTCAAAGATGACATACGCTTATAATGTAAATCTTTATAGAGATGACATCGTCGCTGATTGGTTTAGCGAGTCGATCGTTGATTGGTTTAAAACTAGGTCAACTTGAAAACTATGAAAATCAAGACGGAGTGTACGTTTTCGACAAAAGGAGGTGCGCGAAGGAGGAAATCGTATGTCATCAATTGAATCATGGGGTTTTCCCTCCTCTCGATCGGGGGCTAAAGGAAACAAAATGGCAGATTCAAAATTTGGTTAAAAACGAATCAAAATCGAATAACATTTCTGGCGTATGTATCAATATTTTAGCTTGTTTTTCACGTCATGATGTATTTAGAAACTAGATTTTGGAAATTAAGTGACTAATGAAGGTGATGCGCAGTTCAGAGACAAGTATAAGTTCAACCATGAACTATAACATTTCTCCTCTTTTAGCAAAACGAGCAGATAATTAATGTTGGCAATGAAAAAAAGGTAATGAAAATCTATAATGTCTCTAATCCTTGCTATCCCTTTAATGACGAAAATCTATCATGTCTCCCATCCTTGTTCTCCCCTTAATGTACCAAATGTGGCCTTTGATGACTTTATTGGGTATCTGCAGATTATACAAATTAGAAATATGATCTGAGTTGTAAAGAGATCGAGTTTTCTCCACTTCAATCGGTTATATGTATTTTATTAAGAGATACAATCCAAGTGCAAATACTTAGTGGGAAAATAGATAAAACTAGCACATGCATATCAGTAGCATTTTCGATTTTACCAACGTGATCAGCCAGCTATATGTTGTTATCCCGGTTGTTATGCATGCATTAAGTATCATTACTAGGACGTTTTTCTGACATTGTCTATTAAAGAAATGCTCAAAATGGTTACATTTAATCAAGTACCTTCTTTAACTATTTTCATCAGTAGTTTTGCAACAATATTTGCAGGTAGCACTAATCTAAAGGAGGCGATATTTCAGAGAGTTTGCGGGGACAACATGGCTATGCCGTTAAACATATATGACGTCGTTCGAGTTAATTCTTTAATGGAATGTATGTATGTATGCGTCCAGGACGAGCAGTGTGCCTCATTCAACTTTGGAACAACGATTGACAACGACACAACCGATTGTGAGTTGTGCTCAGAATTGATGTCGTCTTGTTATGACTTGGAACCCAAGTCAATGTTTGGCTATTGGCGCAACGGATACATGGGTCCCGAATCTGCCACGTCTCGTATTCTTACAACGACATCAAATGATTCAACAAATGATTCTACGACGCCAACAAATGATCCCATAACAACAACAAATGATTCCCCGACGCCAACAGATGATCCCATAACGAATTCCCCGACGCCAACAAATGATCCCATAACGACAACAACGGTAAGTGATGGTCAAACAGTCACACATATCTAGGCATGATACTTTTAGCTAATCAGAACACAGTATTTAGAATAATACGCAGTCTATACTTAAGACATATAGCGAATGGCTATTTTAACAGAAAAGTTAATGGCACCCTGCTCATGCAGGTCAAAATGTCAAACCTTGCATATGTTTCTGGTTGAATTGCATCCTTTTGAGTGATACCGCCATGCTGGTACAAAATCGTTTGCAATGTTTGAAAATAATTTTAGCATTTCAATCAATGAATACTTGTCGGTGATTTAATGTGTATATTGTATCATAGCCATTAAATAGTATAGTTTCTAAATAGCCGAATAAAGCTGACATGATAGGTGTCACTTTTGTCATTCTACATTTTGCTAAGGCCAGACTGTACAAATCAAAACTATTATTGTAGAAAATGTTTCACTAAATTCAAATATGCTTTTAAAAAGAAGGAAAAGTTAGTTGTTAGAGGTTAAAAGTGCAAATCTCTTAAAATCTCATGAAAAACGAGAATTAGGGAGATTTCAAAGCTATATGGAAACTCCTCTATCCGGATTAGCGCCCTCGCGCAAAGTCTTCGTGATGTAATAAACCATAATAAACACGAGTCCTGTGCTTAAATTGTTTAATAACAACAAACTACAAAATGTAAAATATAGGAACATGACATGATAGGTGTCACTTTTGTCATTCTACATTTTGCTAAGGCCAGACTGTACAAATCAAAACTATTATTGTAGAAAATGTTTCACTAAATTCAAATATGCTTTTAAAAAGAAGGAAAAGTTAGTTGTTAGAGGTTAAAAGTGCAAATCTCTTAAAATCTCATGAAAAACGAGAATTAGCGAGATTTCAAAGCTATATGGAAACTCCTCTATCCGGATTAGCGCCCTCGCGCAAAGTCTTCGTGATGTAATAAACCATAATAAACACGAGTCCTGTGCTTAAATTGTTTAATAACAACAAACTACAAAATGTAAAATATAGGAAGAAATCGTGTCGAAAAGTATATTATTTTATTTTTCTGCACGATCTTTAATAAGTTACAAGATTAGTTAAACGTTCTACTTGGTCCTCAATGGGATTTTTAACTACAAACTTGGACGTTCTTCGTACTTGTTTAGGGTGATAACTGCGGTGGGTCAATCGATGTTGAAGCTGCATACACGTCCGGCAATGAAATCAGTCTAGTCGACAAAAACAATGGGTAAGTTCAAATGGATCATGAAGGTCGTATGCAATCAAATCGATATATAGTCGACATAAACAATGGGTAAGTTCAAATGGATCGTGGAGGTCGTATGCAATCAAATCGGCCTAGTCAACAAAAACAATGGGTTAGTTCAAATGAATCGTAAAGGTCGTATACAATCAAATCAGTCTAGTCGACAAAAAGAATGGGTAAGTTCAAATGGATCGTGGAGGTCGTATGCAATCAAATCGGTCTAGTCGACAAAAACAATGGGTGAGTTCGAATGGATCGTGAAGGTCGTATACAATCAAATCAGTCTAGTCGACAAAAATCAATGGGTAAGTTTGAATGGATCGCAGAGGTAGTATGCAATCAAATCGGTCTAGTCGACAAAAACAATGGGTGAGTTCGAATGGATCGTGAAGGTCGTATACAATTAAATCAGTCTCTTGAACAAAAACAATGAGTAAGTTTGAATGGATCGTGAAGGTCCTATACAATCGAATTAGTCTAGTCGACAAAAAGAATGGGTAAGTTCAAATTGATCGGGGAGGTCGTATGCAATCAAATCGGTCTAGTCGACAAAAAGAATGGGTAAGTTCAAATTGATCGTAGATGTCGTATGCAATCAAATCGGTCTAGTCGACAAAAACAATGGGTAAGTTCGAATGGATCGTGAAGGTCGTATACAATCAAATCAGTCTAGTCGCACAAACAATCGATAAGTTTGAATTGATCGTGAAGGTCGTATACAATCAAATCAGCTAGTCGACACAAACAATGAGTAAGTTCGAATGGATCGTGAAGGTCGTATACAATCAAATCAGTCTAGTCGACACAAACAATCGGTAAGTTTGAATTGATCGTGAAGGTCGTATACAATCAAATCAGCTAGTCGACACAAACAATGAGTAAGTTCGAATGGATCGTGAAGGTCGTATACAATCAAATCAGTCTAGTCGACACAAACAATCGGTAAGTTTGAATGGATCGTGAAGGTCGTATAATATCAAATCAGTCTAGTCCACACAAACAATGAGTAAGTTCGAATGGATCGCAGAGGTCGTAAGCAATCAAATCGGTCAAGTCGACAAAAAACGATGGGTTAATTCGATTGAATCGTGAAGGTCTTATACAATCAAATCAGTCTCGTCGACAACAACAATGGGTAAGTTTGAATGGATCGTGAAGGTCGTATACAATCAAATCAGTCTAGTCGACAAAAATAATGGGTAAGTTGAAATGAATCGTGGAGGTCGTATACAATCAAATCAGTCTCGTCGACAACAACAATGGGTAAGTTTGAATGGATCGTGAAGGTCGTATACAATCAAATCAGTCTAGTCGACAAAAATAATGGGTAAGTTGAAATGAATCGTGGAGGTCGTATACAATCAAATCAGTCTTGTCAACAAAAACAATCGGTAAGTTTGAATGGATCGTGAAGGTCGTATAAAATCAAATCAGTCTATAGTTAGAAACCCATGCCTCTCTATCGTTTCAAAAAATTTACCCAACGTGGCGGTCTCTGTTAATTTATGGCATCCATACTTTTTTGAAAGGTAACACTTTGAGGCTCAATTTTTTGCCGGATGCCCTTGCAAACTCTCATTGGTTGCTCTGTATTGTAGCATTCCGTTACCATGGTTACGCATCTATAGACATCTTACCTTGGAATCTTAAATCATTTGTAACTTTGTCATTATTTGGTCTATAGAGATGATATTGGTATCAAATTAAACCTAATTAATCTTCTCATAAAGTAATGATATTCAATTATGCAAATTAGATAATTTGCATAAATTGTGACGTCATCAATCAATTTTTGTTTCAGAAATTTCGAGAATAGCAACATATCTATTAGAACTGAGGCCGTATGTCAGAATTTCGGCAAAGTTTGGTCTTTTAGACTATAAGAAGAATGTATCAGCAACATAAAAATGAAAACAGATTCAAAATTGGATCAGTATTGCCAAAGTTATTAAACTTTCGAGGCAGCTACTGTGAATGTCATTATTTGACAATTTTATTCAGACATCTTACCATGGACGTTTAAAGTGTTTGTAGCTTTGTCATTATTTGGTCTATAGATATGATATTGGTATCAAATTAAACCTTATAAAATGTCCTGTACGATTACAATATTCAATTATGCAAATTAGCTAATTTGCATAAATTGTGACGTGATCAATCTATTTTTGTTCAGAATATCCCAGTTTATAGCAACATACATATTAGAACTTAGGCTGAATGACAGAATGTGTGCATAGTTTTGACCTTTATTTGATGAGTGGGAGATAGAGGCAACATTCAAGAGACAACAGATTCAAAATTGGGTCAAAATTAGCAAAGTTATTCAGCTTTTGGGGCAGCTACTATGAACGTCATTGTTTGACAATTATAAAAATATTACAATAACAAAAAAAGAAACAAACATAGTTGTTTCAATCTTATTGAGTAAAAATGTACATGACTTGTTCATATTTTTCCATTGAACTGTACATGAAAGTATGTGGAAATGTTACATGTATTTTGACTATCATTCACAGGGGTCAAAATCATGTGATCTTGATCTTGTATTTTAAAATCTAATTTTATAATTTACCATACACTGTCAATGATCCATATGAATACATAGTAATGCTTTAATTATGCTATTTTGACATATGCTGACTAATATACATATCAATATTTACAAAATCTATATGGAAGAGTATTCCTGGTTTCATTTTATTTCTAGCATGTGAAAAAGCTGAAAACAAAATTTTGTTTATATTTGGACATAAACTAAATAAATCTTAACTACCATTTTATATTTGAAATACAGATAGAGTGTCAACTTTAGAACTTATATGTTAACATTTCCAAAAATCAATGCCCAAAATAAGTCAATCGGTGTCAAATGGCGAGCCCATACAGCTAATGTGATAACTACTTTAGGGGAATTTTTCAACCTTCAAAATCCTTGGTGATTCAACCTTAGAATGATTTATGTTATAGCTTTTCTGAAAATGGACTATAAGCAGATAGTAGGTACTTAAAGAAGCAAAATGAAAAGTAGTTTTTATATAATTTTACATAATATAACCTCTTCGATATGCAATGAAAAATGATGACAAAATCCATACACGAGCTCAGTAGTAGTACCAGTAATCCTGAAATTAAAGTCTATTGATCAAAATAGTCACGACGAAAAAAATTTTGTAGGACTTTAACTAGCAATTCCTACATCTACATATAGGTTTCCTACATCTATCTCTTATGTCCCAAAGTATGTATGGTATAGGACTTGTAATCTGAACTTGTTTTAAAAGGTTTCCAAAATATGAAATACCAAAAATCTATGAAAAATATGAGTCTGAAATGGATGGATTTCAGGTATATCCCCATAGACTATGGATACCATTCAAAACTGAGAACCGTAACAACAGGAGATTTAAGTGCAAAATAAAGGAGTTAATCACGTAGTATGATTGACAGAGGTTGAATCTAAACTATTTTAATTTACACTTTTTATAGTTTAGAAGCTTTATATGGAATGATCTAATCTAATGAAGATCTAATCAATACAGTGTGTATCAAAAAACGCAACAGATTGTTATCTCGGAAAAGCACAAAACCAGTGATAACATCATTGATTTCATTCAATGCACCATGAAGCCATGTGTCTCCTCTTTACAATGATATATCATTCATTGATATTTGTACCGAAAAGCCAAATTACTCCTCTTTGCCAATGGAATATCATTCATTCATAGGAAGTCATGGCTGGCCGAATAATCATTAATTTTGCAAAGTAGGGCAAAATTCAGTTCGGACTCAAGTTTCAAACATTGCAAAAGTCACTACAAGGGGCATAGGGGCGATTGGAAGAAGGTGTGACAGGTTTGGCATATACAGTAAAGTGTTCATACTCATACACTTGAAAGAATTTATCCTATACCTCTCCAAATTGCCACCACTTCCTTGCACAAAAAGATGCGCTCATTTGTCCATGTCATGCATGATTCAGCCTGGAGTCATCTGTGGGTTAAAGCAGAGAAAAGCAGCCCATGGGCAATTCTTTCTCGAGGTTTTGCAATATCTGGTGAAGGAATTGTGAGCACAGATGCTCCTGAGATAGCTCCAAAAGAAAAAGTCACAGCATTTCAAGTCCATAGGTACTTAGCCCTTGCACTGATTTTTGCAATATCTAAAACGTGGTCCAGAGCCAATTTTGACCCACTGTGCAAATGGAAGGATTTCTCACCTTACCTTTACCACATGTGAATGAAGAGGAGGGATGTGGCTTTATGGTACATTGAATGAAATTGATGTAGTCATCACTAGTTTTGTGATTTTACGAGATAACTACCTGTTGCGTTTTTTTGAAACGCCCAGTGTAACAGATTTTATCAAAAAGTCTCAGATGTACATGTAGGCTTGGACGCTGGGGCAAAAGTCATCACAATAAGATGTACTGAGAGGAGCTGAATCAATGTCACACCTATAGATGATGTTAACAAGGAGATTAATGTCACACAGATGATATTTGGGAGTCAAATCACACTGGTGAGGTGAACATGGAGATGTGACAAAGATGATGGAAACATTAAGAATAAAAAGCATCCCTGTCATGAAAGTCACCACTGAAATAGATTAACAAAAGAAAAATTCAACCACTGCCATATGGGTCCTTGACATGGGTAATGGGTAATATCGATTTTACATATACGTACATTTAGATGGCTATAACATGAATGAATGCCATAGAGGTGATGTTAACGTGGATATCAATGTCACATGGATGACATGGTGATAAAACGTTAATTTGTTCAAAGTTACACTATTGAGGTGTTGTTAGTCACATGGAAATAAATGTCACATGGATGTAGGAACTCTTGGGTTTAAGTCCTCGCTTCATCAACACTCAATATAAAAATGCAATGCTATTTATGAACTATAATAGCTTTGGTATGATAAATAATACAAGGTGTCTCAAAAATGTACCCAAAAGTATATTAATACCACGGTTTAACCAATCAATATTTTCAGATATTTTTGCATGATCATGTTGCTAAAGCATGTAAGTTTCCTCCCCAATACAAAGTTTTCAGTTCAGTCTTGCATTTTGATGATTTAACCCTTTACTTTTTACTTCATATTTTGATGACAGCCTGTATCCTTGTGCTACATTGTTCATCACTTTGATAATGTTTCAGGTGGAACGTTTTGAATTTCTTTTTGGGTGTTGGCTTTATGTTGTACTAGGTCTTTCGGCTTGGGATTAGCTAACATGCTCCTTCAAATAGCCCCAGAGAAGTTCCAAGGTTGAAGATGGCAGAACAATCACAGAGAACCAGCTCAATTATCATCAAATGATTTAGCAGTTAATTGATAATGGAGTTCTGCCAGAGTTACAGAGACTGAATGATATCCAAATGAGAACTCTGTGGTTCCGGACAGTTTGAGCCCCTCCATGTACAGCAAGGGCCACACAAAAATTCCCATGAAAGCAATTTCTTCTCTCTATATAAAGACAGTGTGAAGGCCTCCCTATTCAACAGATTTGACACCCCAAACATTTTCTCTGGAATGACTTCAAGAACCATGTTTATGTTTATCCCAAGCTAAGAGACATAGAACAATTTGAGGTCAACATGTGAAAGGAAATTCAAAACATTCCACCAGAAACATTGTCATATATGATAAACAATGTAGCAGTAAGAATGCAGGCTTTTATCGAAATGTAAGGAGGTAAAATTAAACACATGGTATAAAAAGGGTTAAAGCATCAAAAAGGCAAGACTGAACTAAAAAATTAGTATTAGAGAGAAAACTTACCTGCTTTTCCTCAATGACTATGCAAAAATATCTGAAAATATTGATTGATTTATCTTTGCTGTTGATATACCTTTGGTTCATTTTCTGAGACACTCTAGATTATAAAAACTGTCTCTTTAATGTCACTGCCAGTAATCTGACAAAATGAGTGAAGGGAGTTGATTCCTGCTACAAAATTCAACAAATAAGATTTCTTTCTTCAAAAAGCATATGGTATGGTAAAATCAGTTAGGTTTTAGGTGTAAGAATGGCGCAACGTCACCAGCATGCAAAAAGTCAATCTTTGAATCCTCTTCAATGCAATAAAATCAAAATGAATGTTCTTGCTGTTTTTTAAATGAGGCTTTTAAAAATATATTATTTTGATATTTTTTATAACATTTTGTAAATAATTCAAACAAGGCATAAACATGCAAAATGTCTCAGCCTGCCATTTGTTACAGATGCCAAAGGCCAGACACCAGATGTCAAACGCTGTCTCAAAAATGGAGACAAATGGAGAACAATATGTCACCGCTTTTGGTGGTGACATAAAAAACAGCAATGACATACATTTTGTGATATAACGTCATCAATTTGTATTAACAGGTCATGTAGATGATTACTGCTTGAATCGGTGCACAAATATTAATGTTTGACCAGTCATGATGTTTCGTCCTTTTAAACACCAACTACTTTAGTGACATGTAAAATATATTTTTTTCACTCAATAAGCTTGAATCAGCTTTGTTTCATTTTTGTTATTTCAGTGTTTTATTTATGATTGTCAAATAGTAACGTTCATAGCAGCTGCCTCAAAAGCTGAATTACTTTACTAATACTCATTCAATTTTGAATATTTTTTGATGTTGCTCATACCTCTTCCACTCATAGAATAAATGACGAACTATGCAGAAACTACACCATCCAACCTCGGATCTAATAAATTTGTTGCTATACTTGGAAGTTCTGAACCAAAAATAGATTGATGACATCATAATTTATGCAAATTAGCTAATTTGTATAATTGAATATCGTTACCGTTTATTCAATTAGGATCAATTCAATACCAAGACCTCCTCTATAGACCAAATAATGACAAAGCTACCAAACATTTCAATTCTAAGGTAAGATGTTTAAAGTTAATTGTTCAATGATAACGTTCATGGTAGCTGCCCAGAAAGCTTAATAACTTTGTTAGTTCTGATCCAATTTTGAATCTGTTTTCACTTTTATGTTGCATAAACCTTCTGCTCATAGAATAAAAGTCATCACATTGAAGAAATTCTACCATACGGCTTCATTTCTTAAAGATACATTGCTATACTTGAAAATTCTGAACTAAATATAGATTTATGACGTCACAATTTATGCAAATTAGCTCATTTGCATAATTGAATATTTTAATTTTATGAGAAATTTAATTAGGTTTAATTTGATACCAATATCATATCTATAGACAAAATAATGACAAAGCTACAAATGATTTAAGATTCCAAGGTAAGATGCCTATAGATGCGTAACCATGGTAACGGAATGCTACAATACAGAGCAACCAATGAGAGTTTGCAAGGGCATCCGGCAAAAAATTGAACCTCAAAGTGTTACCTTTCAGAAAAGTATGGATGCCATAAATTAACAGAGACCGCCACGTTGGGTAAATTTTTTGAAACGATAGAGAGGCATGGGTTTCTAACTACTAGTCCACACAAACAATGAGTAAGTTCGAATGGATCGTGAAGGTCGTATACAATCAAATATGTCTTGTCCACACAAACAATGAGTAAGTTCGAATGGATCGTGAAGTTGGCATACATGTTTGAAATAAGAATGGATAGTAACATTGCAGAGTTATAAATTCATTGTTTATATTTCTATTGAAAATATTATCCCTGTTCTTTATTAGATCTAGAATAATATCCTTCAATTGACTTGTTTTTGTTGTTTTTTGAAGCCATTATACCAGCACTGTAAACAGCAATGGGTCGTTAAATTCGGTGTCGGCTAGAGGAAATTTGGATTTACTGTATGGTGGATTGTTAGAGACCATAATCTTCAGAGAAATCAACTCTGTCGGTGGGAACTTAAGTGATGGTGTCAATTTATTCTTTAACGGTACGCATTCAGACTCAAGTCAAACTACGTTTAAAAATGAAAAGGGACTGTGTCTTTACGTTGCTCATAAAATCACATTGCTTGCTTTTGTAACGATTGTTTCATAAAAATATCACTTAATTGAATTAAGATATGGAAAATATGCTTTTTAAAGAACGTACTCTTATAGCGGAGCACCATTCAAATAAGACAAAAAAGAAACTGTAAGTAGACAAACTTAACGCATTTTTTATTATATCCAGGTAATGATATCCACTGTATGGATAAATCTTGGCTCGTTGACAATTTGGGGCTCGGTTGTCTTGTACATGGCTTTTGGACGAAAACAATCACGCAGATATTCGGCGCTGGAACCCCATCAACAGTCAACGCAGCTGTGGAGGCAACTTCAAACAGAACGTACCTTTTCGATGACATCACTGTGTATATATCCGAACGTCATGGACTTAATGTTGTCACTGGTTCGCTTGTTGATAGCTATGGAATACGAGATTCAAGAGCGGAGAATCTATGGCTTGGGATCCCTAATGGTGTAACGGCCGTAGCTGGATGGCCTGATAACAATGACCAGTTTCTTTTCTTTGTCGGGAAGACCTACTATGTTTATGATACCGTTGCGAAACAGAATGTGCTTGGACCGTTATGTGTTCCAAACTAATTCGAATAGTTTGTAAGCCGTTTTATCTCAAGATAATTGTGTTTTCTGTACAATAACAACAGTGATATTTCTGATGTCATGTAGATCCGCGTGGGATAATCTTTAGAAAATCGTTTATCATCTGCATATACGGCTGACCATTATTCTGCATATTTGCATGATAAACAAATTTGACTATCCATTTACTCTTTTTATTTATTTTCTGTTGTAATCATGGGATAAACCTAATATCAGATCGTTTTCGTGATATGATATTATCGCCTCGTCTATTTATAAATGATATCACTCAAAATGACCTGATATTCTGTATATATGTCAAAATGAAACAGTAATGTTTTTTCAATGTGTCGTCCTACTGTTGTATGAACTAATACATGTATATACGACTATCTGGTCATTAATACATCCGTGGGACTGGATCCCCGACCGATGAGAAATTAAAGATAAAGTGCAACAAACGAAACACTGGAAATAATTATCAAACCAATGTACAAGTATTAAGCCTCAGTCACATTTGCTCTACGGCCGCCGTAGCTTCACAAAAATTTCTGATTTTGGGAAGCTACGGCCGCCGTAGCTCAAATTTGACCGAGGCATAAGTCAGATTAATTCAATTCTTATTTTAAATATACCTTTCTTACAGATAATGAATGGATTTAAAAAATGCATCTGTCTTGAATCAGAAAATATTCATAATCCAAGATATATTCGTTTGGAATTGTTTGCAATTACCTACATGTCTGTCTTTGTCCCGGTAAATGTGGAAGTTAATTTGCGATTTCCTTAATGAAAAGCTTTATACTCAATCACTTTTATGGTATTTGGTTTACATAGGCCTTTTAAAGCGAATGTACACGAGTGTCCCATTTTTGCCCACCCTGTACCATATAACACCACACTACAAAATAAATATATAACAAGGCATTAACATGCAAAATGTTACCACCTACCATCTGTTACAGACGCCGAACATCATCCACCGTCTAAAAAAGTTGGAGACTATAACAAAATATGTCACCACTGCTGGTGGCGACATAAAAAGGTTTTACTTTAAGAACCCATATCAGTCCTAGCATTTTGAGATTTACTTCACCAATCTTTGACTTCCGGCGAGGAAATAAATCAAAAAACCAACAGAATTCAGATTTATATTTTAGTGGTTTATTTACAATAACTTCAATGCTTTTTATCAATAGGGAGTTAAAGCTACACATTCTTGTGAGAACGTGAACGTGTAAAATAATAGACCAAGGAAATTACTAATCTCTAATATAAGGGACGAAATTACTACAAGGGGAAGAACTAATATCTACACAGCCAATCTCAAACTGTACTGTACAGCGCTGTTTTTGAAACAGTACTGTACAGCGCTGTAAAAACAGTGCTGTACAGCGCTGTTTTCCAAAACAGTACTGTACAGCGCTGTAAAAACAGTACTGTACAGCGCTGTTTAAAACAGTACTGTACAGCGCTGTAAAAACAGTACTGTACAGCGCTGTAAGATAAACAGCGCTGTACAGCGCTGTAAAAACAGTACTGTACAGCGCTGTTTTTGACTTTGAAAATGATAAATATATTATATCATAATATATTCTGTTATAATAGAGGGTCAAGGGTATTTTATGTTTTGTTATTGATGTTTGATTACAAAGGCCACTTTTATCAAAAGGCATTAATTTTGTGTTTTCAAAACGGGAGGCCTAGAATGAGAAAACCAGGTATTATTGTTCTTATTATTTACACTGCCAAAATAACTCCATGCTAAATCAGCGCTAATCTTTTTTCGCGCTAATTTAGCGCTGATTTGGTACTGAATTGGTACAAATAAAGTTTGTGTGGAATTAGCGCTAATAAATCAGTACCAAATCAGTACAAACCTCAGTTAGTGCGAAATCAGCACTAACTTAGCAGTGCTAATTTAGTGCTAAGTTAGTGCTGATTTAGCACTAACAAAACTTATATTTTTTCTGACTTTTATTACAGTATTATTGATTGATTTAAGCAATATTGATATTACTTATTTAGAGTTTGAAATATTTTATTATAAATAACATTCATTATTGTGATTTCTTCAATTGAGTTTGACATCTTAGGGAAATCCCTGGGAAATCCCTTTGAACTTTTGACCTATGACGTCACACATTCTATGACTCATACAAAGAGGACCTCTGACTCATACAGGAAGTTTGTGAAGCCACATATTTTAAATTTTGATTTCTGTGCCAGTCTCTGCCATCTGTCTGCAATTTTCACTTGTAAGTATATATTTGATTGTTTTGTATGAATAAATGAGCATATGTTAGGTGCACCTATTATATAGAAGACTTTCAAATACCAGATAGGCTCTGTGGGATAGGAGGGTGAAATTCAAAGATAAAAATTCAGGAGGAATTGAAAAAAAAATTCAAATTGAAAAGTCACTGAAAGTCTTGTCTTAAAAGTCCAGGGCATAGGCTAGTTCTTTGGAGTTTTTAAGAAAATATATTTATAATCTGCAATGCATAACGTCTTCTGAATGAAGCCAGAAATGGGCCACTCCTGGCCAAAATGTAATTTCTGAGTGATTTCAGTTTTAAATTCAATTTTTTATTCTTTATAAAAGATCATTTTCTTTTATCGGGAATGCATTTCTAGGCTACCTTTTTATTTTATAGACTTGATGTTGGCACTATTGGTCAGATGTTGGCATATCATGAGGAGTGAAGGCAGTAAAGAATACAATACATAATCAATGGATGGAGGGCCATGTATCAGCAATGTGGAATGAAACCGGGAATGCAACATACTTATGCCATTTAGGCTAGGTGCGTAAAGTAAACGTTTTAACAGTTTTAGGAAATCTAATAATAATTTATTTTGCTTATTCAGCGTATCGTTGGAATCGTGCCCCCATGTCATATTACCATGTTCATTTCATATCACCATGTTCCCATGTTATATCACCATGTTCATTTCATATCACCATGTTTCCATGTTACATCACCATGTCCATGTCATATCACCATGCTCCCATGTTATATCACCGTGTTCATTTCATATCACCATGCTCCCATGTTATATCACCATGTTCATTTCATATCACCATGTTCCCATGTTACATCACCATGTCCATGTCATATCACCATGCTCCCATGTTATATCACCATGTTCACTTCATATCACCATGCTCCCATGTTATATCACCATGTTCATGTCATATCACCATGCTCCCATGTTATATCACCATGTTCATTTCATATCACCATGCTCCCATGTTATATCACCATGTTCATTTCATATCACCATGCTCCCATGTTATATCACCATGTTCACTTCATATCACCATGCTCCCATGTTATATCACCATGACATGGTGATATGACATGAACATGGTCATGTCATATCACCATGCTCCCATGTTATATCACCATGTTCATTTCATATCACCATGCTCCCATGTTATATCACCATGTTATATCACCATGTTATATCACCATGTTCATGTCATATCACCATGTTCCCATGTTATATCATCATGTTCATTTCATATTACCTGCTCCCATGTTATATCACCATGTTTGTTTTATATCATCATGCCCCAATGTTATATCACCATTCATTTCATCATGCTACCATGTTCATAACCTTATTCATGCCCTCATGTCATATCACCAATTAAACATGTTAATAGCCTATGCTTCCTCACAGGGCTATAATAAAATTGTAAATACGTCAACCCTAACTATGACAAAATAATCTAGCATATTTTGGCCCTGTAAAAATATTGGAAACAATTTGTGTATGCAAACTGAATTCTTTGTTCAAAGATATTATTTCGAACTTTAATTTACATTGGTAAGCAAATCTGCGAATATTCATAGAAAACTATATCACCATGTTATATCACCATGTTCATGTCATATCACCATGCTCCCATGTTATATCACCATGTTCATGTCATATCACCATGCTCCCATGTTATATCACCATGTTCATTTCATATCAACATGTTCCCATGTTATATCATCATGTTCATTTCATATTACCTGCTCCCATGTTATATCACCATGTTTGTTTTATATCATCATGCCCCAATGTTATATCACCATTCATTTCATCATGCTACCATGTTCATAACCTTATTCATGCCCTCATGTCATATCACCAATTAAACATGTTAATAGCCTATGCTTCCTCACAGGGCTATAATAAAATTGTAAATACGTCAACCCTAACTATGACAAAATAATCTAGCATATTTTGGCCCTGTAAAAATATTGGAAACAATTTGTGTATGCAAACTGAATTCTTTGTTCAAAGATATTATTTCGAACTTTAATTTACATTGGTAAGCAAATCTGCGAATATTCATAGAAAACTATATTTTCAGGTAACTGTTATCAGTTATAACAACAAAAAGCTTGTGGTACCAGCATATAATCAATTTGAACCAAATCCGCCAACTGGTACTTGAGTTTTCAAAGATTACAATTTTTTATGAAAAATGGCTGCCATTTTGAAATTTAGTGGCCATCATCAAAATGTCTTCTTTAAAATTAACAAAGCTCTATTGTCCTGAGGCATCAGCATATACAATTTGAGTTATCAAAGATTTAATTTTTTACAAAAAATGGCGTGCATTTTGAATTGAGTCGCCATATTGAAAATTGATAAGAGGTCAGAGGTTCTACACCGATAAGGCATTAGACTATAAATTTTGAACCGAATCCAGCAACCGGTATTTCATTTATTGTTCGGACAGACGGACAAACGGACGAATGGACGGATGGACGGACGGCTTTCTATATCTTCATCTAACTTCCTTCGGTGGGATAATAATGATAATTATGTACATTTGTTTCTCAATTTGTCTTTTCAGCCAGACAGTTCAAACTCTTCGGAGTTATAGATGGCAGAAAGAGCAAGGGGGCAAACCCTGTAGACCTGTTTGGGAAGTCCAAAGAAAGACTTGATAGGTTAGCATAATCAATATTTAAGGGCCAGTACAGACAAGTTTATAAAAACCAAATGGTTCTT